ACGCAGACACGGGGAGAACATGCAAACTCCACTCAGAAAGGCCCTGGTCCGACCGGGATTCGAACCCAGGACCTTCTTGCTGAGAGGCGAGAGTGCTATCCACTCAGCCACTGTGCCGCCCGGAATCATGAGAGATACTCATGATTCTTCTTTTGTTTTTGTTTGTCCCTAGCTTCTGGACATCTGATGATCTATTGGACACAGACATTTGCAGAACAAGAACCAGCCAATGAAAAACGTCTATTGCCGATGCTATTACTACAACCAGAACCTGTGACCAAATGCAATATACATGTTAAGTATTCAGACATCTGACAGACAAAACTTTGACTTTTTTAGTCTGGGAGACTGAGCAACTGTTAAAATGTGTTAAAGTGATAAAGTATGAGTATTGTAGCGTTTTAGTAGATGTTAAATAGTAGTAAAAAAGTAGAATTGTCCTTCCTTTGTTGTTCATAAACACATTTCCACATAAGAGTTAAAATAGTACCATACAATGTTATCCTTTTGATAGATCAGATAAAATATTAGAATCAGAATAATGTTACAGCCATTAAAAGTGACAGAAGTCACAAACTAGAAATGCCTTGACTTAAGCTGCAAACGAGCTTTGGAGTCACAATAGTGTAGAAATAGAATTAGATAAATGCATCAACCATAGATGCTTTCAAAAATAGAGAATATTTGTAGCCAGTGCTAATATCAAATGGTAAAGGGACCATTTCACAAGCATTTACTTCAAAAGTAGATAAAGTTAATTACAGTTTATGTACAGTTTTATTAGATACCTTCCAAATTCACTTGTTTTCAAACATCTGTGAATGTTGACAATACAAAAAGTTCATGAAAGTAGCTTAGATCAATGAGATAGATTAGCACCAACAGAGATTCAAAAGCATTTAAAAGCATTTTGATGTATTTGTGTATAGCACAAAAACACAATAGAAGATATTTAGATATTGAGAAGTTTCCAGCACAAACACCATTGTAGAATAACTGACCCCAACCCCAAACCTGCTCAAATAGATTAGCTCTTGTAAGGATAATACCAATTTGATTATTGACCAAACTGCCTTAGAGGAGGAAGTGACAGCACTTCCTGGTTCAACAAATGTATTTGGAAAACTGACCGCCATAATAATGTTCATATTAACCATTTGTCTTTCTGTGTTCACAGTTTTATTCCTGAGAATGTAGAGTAGACATAGAGCAAAATCCCACTAACACAAAGCCACTGATAATGAAAGTAAACCACAGAGAGATTAAAATGTATGTTTAAGAATATGGCTCAATAAAAGCAAATATGCAAACATATTTGTGAATAGATTAGAATAGTTTTAAACTATAGTGAATCATGAAAGTAAAGTACACAGTCTAAGATTGAAAAGTGAAAACAATACAGTGAAGTGAAGTGTAAACAATTAGCATTAGAATAAAAGTATAGAGTAATAAAAGTGAAATTAGCTTCTAATTTGAGACTCAGCTTGTTTTTGTCTGTGTTTTGACTGAATCTGCTGAGTTCTTGTGTGTCCAATAGAGTTTGTTTGTTTTTATTTTTTATTTGTTTTTTGTTTGTTTATTTACTTTATTTTTGTTTGTTTGTTTTTTCCCAGGATAGAGGATAAAATCCACTGATATTGATTTGATGATTATGAGTAATGCATACATTTTCTTTGTTTTTAATAATTTTTTAAAGTTTTTTTTTTGATTTTTTTTTTTTCTTTTTCCACTTTATTGATTGATCAAATTGAGTGATCACATGTGATTATGTGATCAAAGGGGAGGGTGTTAGTATTAGATAGCAATATGGCCTACGTGCAGGACTCTACAAGGACTCCATGTTATGACTATGATTTGACTGTCTCTTTGTGACACGTATGTCTTTCGATGTGTGACGTGACAATGACTATATAAACTGTGTACTGCCTTTATTCTGTCTGAGAGAAAGAAACAGAGTAAACCAGTGGAACTTGAGAGAAACGTAAATAAACTTCCAGAGTTTGGCGCACCACGATCCGTCTCTGTCTGCTTCATCCTGACATTTCTCACATTTTTTCCCTCTGTTTTTTTCTGTTAGATAAATCTCTTGTAATATTCCTCTCTGTGGGAGCTGAGGCGCAAGGATCAGATGAACATTTGTACAGAAAGTTTACTCACGTGTAATAGATCTAACCGTCTTGTTCATTTAAATCATCACATAATTCCCTTTGGGGTATTTTGAGAGGTTACTTGTCGAAGAAGGAGGGTCTAAGGACAGTGATGATCCAGGACATGTATACACATTTATGAACAGAGGTAATCCCGTTCCCTATGGACCAGAGGCTTCAAGTAGGGCTGGTGGCGATGGGGCTTATGTCTCAACTGGCCTGGGAACGCCTCAGGGACTTGGGGAAGAGAGGGTGGATAAGTCTATAGGCTTCTCTCAGTCTCCACACAGGAATGGATACAGCAGAAGAAAAATGATGAATGGTTATCACCCACATCAGTGTCAAATCCCAGACTGGGAAGCACAATAATTCTTAAAATATTTTCTACAATTCTTTTAGAAACAGATGAGTTCTTCTTGTGCAGACTGCAGCCTTCAGAGTGTTATGTAAAGAGACTGAGTCGGCTGACACACACACAGAGTAAGTCGATCCAGTGTAAAACGATCGTCCGTCTCCGGTGTCCCAACACTCGCGTTTTTAATCAAACCTCCATCAAAGCGACAGTCACTCATCCGGGACTGCCCCAGCTTAATCTGCTGTTGTAACCGTGTCCTTAAGCAGAGAGGAGTCCGAATGGGACCGAGAGCGCAATGTGTGACATAAGCACCAGACAGATTGGGCACAGGATTGGAACAGGGAGAGATATAGTGGGAAAAGTTATTGACAGAGTTAGATTAGATTCGTGTCCTGCATTTGTTTCTATATTAGACTGCTGTCACTGTCACAAAGGCACACAAAACAAACTAGATATGCACATCCTGAATTACTCAATAATCAACAAGTGTATTTCCAAATTTTCTTCAGTTTTAGTCACAATTTGAGTTAAAAATCTGTTAGTTTGTTTCCAAAAAAGTTGATTCCTTTTTGTTGTCCAATCATCCATCCCATTTTGGAGGAGTTTTGGAGGATGGCTGCTCTATGGCATAGTCTTAAAATCAGGCAAAGATGGATTTTGTGGTTTTGGATTTTTTCTGTTTTATTCCTTGTTTTGTCATTAATGATTTGAGAATCATAAGACCTTTTCCAGTTCTGCGGCCACATGTTTCTTTACCAGTGAGTTTATATCAACACAGTGATGTGATCAATAACAAGATTTAGGGGCTGTGAAACTAATTTTGAAATTCCAATATCTTGGCTAATGTAGTAGTCCAAAAGAGCATGGTTTATTAATGCCTTTTGACAGATTAGGGCCCTAATCATGAAAATCTTACATATGGGTACTTTCTTGTACATTTTTAGTGATAGGGCCCACCGGAGCGCCCAGAAAGGCCCTGCTCCGATTCGAACCAAGGACCTTCTTGCTGGGAAGCGAGAGTGCTGTGTTGGCGAATTCAGAACTTTTGTAAAATCCTCTGAGATAACTACTGTTGTGAATTAGGGTTGTACGAGAATACATTTAATTGTCGAATGAGACTAATATTTAGCTCAACTGAACACTATCGTCGCAAAGTAGAACCAAATTCACTCAAACACTTTGACCTGCATCTCCAGTGCCCAGACGTGTATCTGGAGTGAGCAGACAGAATGCACCCTGGCTGAGGTCCAGGACGACATCAGGTTAAAAAATGTTTACTTCAAAAGTTAACAAGTATCATGGACAGTTTTATTAGATTCGGCCAAATTCACTTGTGCTCAGATACCCAGGACGACATCAGGTTAAAAAATGTTTACTTCAAAAGTTAACAAGTATCATGGACAGTTTTATTAGATTCGGCCAAATTCACTTGTGCTCAGATATAATTGCGCAATACAAAAAGCCTGGATTAATGACAGATTACAACCAACAGCGATTCATTAACCACCCAATTAGCACTCGAAAGACTTTCAATTCAATTTAAAAATAGTTTTCCTAACAATGTGAGACAGGCTTCTTCTCTGACAATGTTCAAATCCAGGTTAAAGTTTCGGCTTCGCTGCAACAACTAAAAGACTAACATACATGAAAAGGATTATGAACGTATGGAGATTATTTAGGATTTTAATGCCTTGTGCAATTGCTTCCATCATGTTTTGTTGAGCACTTTTAGTTGCCTAATGGATGAACTGTACTATACAACCACTTAAATCCTGCAACAGTTAATGTTACCTCACTTACAAAACATGAAAACCTGCCGCTTATATTTGGATAAGCTTAATCTAATGACGAAAGACTGGAGTAATATGTGTAAGTTACAGCTCCAACATGAGCAACAATTGTCCTGAGAAGCTAAGTTCTGACGACATCAAATCATCTACAGATTTGTACCGGCTACAAAAGGGTCTAAAGTACATTTATGAACAATGTGATTTAATTTCAAGGTCTTGAGACATCTTGAAAACACTAGACTTAGATCGTACATGTCCTGTTTTAGGGCTTTAGGGAAACAGGAAATGAAGCCATAGAAATGCACCATGAGCCGCTGTGTGAAAAGTAGGTCACAAATGATGATTATCTGGGGGATTTATGCACATTTATTTCCCGACAGTGATCATCCCGCTCCCTATGAACCAATGGCTCCTGTGAGTTATTGCAATTCCTGTGTTTGAGCCGTTTGCAGTTAGACGAGAGCTGCAGCTACGACTTCTCTAATCTGTTCTGGCAAATCAAACAATTTAGAAAACACATTGAAAGCGGGACATATTAATAATGTTCTTTTTAATAATAATAATTGGACAAAGGTGTAGCACAAATCATAATTTCTAAATAACAAAAAAGAAGACTCATTATGATATTTACACAGAAATAACAAGTTTTCACAGTAAAACTCCTTCTCTGTCACTTTATATATAAATATATACAGATGTGGTCTGTGGTCATTCCAGCTCAGTGTATCTGGCAAACATGGCTTTTCGGACCGCGTCTTTGTACGTGTCTGACGCCGACAGTTCGTACGCCGCTCCCTTTATGCCCAAACCGGTGCCTTTGGTCCTCATCGAAGCCTGAGAAGGAAAACACGTCACAATCAACATGAATACTAATATGATAGTAGAACATTGTACATCCCTCAAGTTATTTGTGAGCTGTGATTGGCGAGATCTTCGATGTATGCATAGACTGTATATAGATGGACAATGCTAACCCGCCAGCTCATTGAAGCCCAATGGGGAAGTGCTCATGAACAAAGTTTGGCTCCAACTCGCTGCGAGTACTGACCTATTGACATGTAAAAATAAACTCCTTGAACTCAGTAAGCGTTTGAGTCACACTAGCCATTTTGGGCTTAATAAAACCCCATAGTTTAGCCCTCTCTGTGATCTTGCTGTCTATTTTGTGTCTTTGAAAACTCCAGCTTGTCTTAGCAACATGTCTGCCCCTGTAAAAACATCAAGCTAACGCCCAGAAGAGATGCCCATATAAGGAAAATGCCTTCAGCTAGCTTATATTCAAATCTTCCTCTTCTGCGTTAATCACTCCACATATACAGTTTATGGTTTTGACTCGTGTTAAATACTTTGAAAACATATTCTTAATGTTAAGTGAGAATCAAAGCCTCAAAAATTCGCTATTGTCTTGAATCTTGGACTGAAGCCTTACAGCGATGGGGGTGGTGATTCCTTGTTGGTGGCGACCCAGGCCCTTCCCCTCCTGCCAGCCCATGGCCTGGAGCATCTTGTTACCGATGTTGTCGCTGGTCAGTCCGTCTTTGGTGGGCTGTTCGTAACTCCTGTGGGGAAATATCAAACGCAGACTTCAAACCACAGAATATAGTAATCATAACTGAAGAGAACTGTCAAGAATTTAATTAGCAATATTGATGTATTTAATGAAGGGAAATACACTCTCGGGCCTCTCTCCCACACTCGGGCCTCTCTCCCACACTCGGGCCTCTCTCCCACACTCGGGTCTCCCTCCCACCCTCTGGGCTCTCTCTCTCTGTCTCTCACTCACTGTTCTTTAACAGATAAATGTGTTCTTTCTACTCACACTGTTGCGACCGGCTGATGCTTCTTGAATTTCTTCTTTGGTGCTGGAGGTTCAGGGATCCCGTATTTCTCTCTCCTCTCTGCAGCTCGGTCTCTGTATTTAAGCTGCACACACGCATTAGAGTGAGTGTGGAAAAGCCCAGACATTAAATCAGATTATGACACATTACAACTCTTCAGCATTAACTGCCAGTATTACAGTACAGAAACCCATGTTGGTTTTTACATCCATCTCTAAAAACACTGTTATGAATGTGTAATAATTTTCTATATAATGTTTTGCCTCTGTTGAACATGAGCAATGGGGAATTCATAGTGATATCACACCAGTTATGTCTTTGAGACTTTTTTAAAGCAGACTTTGAGCACTTTTAGGGAGCGAGACAAGAGAGACAGCAAGACCAGATGAAGACTACGGAGAGAAACACACCAGAGGGAGACTAGAGGGGGACTGCAGAGGGAGACTACAGAGAGACACCAGAGGAAGACAAGAAAGAGAGACCATAGAGAGATACGCCAGAGGGAGACCAGAGAGAAACCTGAGAGACCGGAGATGATATGTGCTTACAAAAGGTGTATAACTATGTGATATGTTTTTGTTTAATGTAGATTGTATTGAGAAATTAGCTTGAAATTTTGAGTTACCAAAGACAATGTAGCAGCTAATCTAGATTTTCCTTTCCAAATCTTCAAGTATGTCCACAGCTATAGTCATGTATGTTTTAGAATACCTGTACAAATAATTAATAGTCCAACAAATAGTGTTTATACATATGTCACGCTTACCTCCATATCAGCGTCTGACATCCTGGTTTTTCTGTGGATCTCCAGGTTTTGCTGTAACAGAAGTACACAGTGATATTTGTGGCTCGGGCTCAGAGCAGCAGATGTCCGGCCGGTCCCCTGTGGACACTCACCTTGTGAAGGTCAGAGAGCTGCTGGTGTCGGAGAAGCGCGTCCTTGTTAGGGAACTGTCTGCGGCATAAGAGACACACCATCTTTGTCCAGTCCGTGATCTTAGTCTCGTCATCGACCGACGACTCCTCTGGATCACTGTCCCCGCTGTAGGTCGCCACCAGCCCGGCCTGACGGGGAAACATGGGTAGGAAACAGTTAGGACTCTCAGAGCAGATGGTTGATGGTTCCCATTCAAATCAATGGGATTCTGAAAATCTCTCCACATTTTTGGCAAGGAGAAAAAAAACCCAGTGGGAAGAAAATGTGAGAAATCAAGGGGGGACTTTATTTTGTTAACAAAACTTTCTTGTACCTGCTTTAACATCAATTCAGACAAACAGTTAGGAAAGCTTTAGATGCTAACTTTTTACCCAGACCCTGAATGTATCACTGTCAAACACATATTTTGTCAAGAGAGACCAGGGAAGGGGAAGGAGAGACCAATAGAGAGAGGGTGACCAGAGAGAGGGCGACCGGAGAGACCCCAGAGAGCAGAGAGAGTGAGAGCAGAGAGTGGGAGACCAGAGAGAGCGAGTTTCCTAGTTTGTGACTTCTTGATACTCTCATGGCAATAAAAAGATTCTGATTCCCAACACATGATTACAGCAATAACAAACCTTAGCAACAGGCTCCTCCTCTTGATCCCTGAGCAGTTCAGGAATAGATGGCGGCATTTCCATTCCCCCCATTTGCTGAAATGACCAACAAGATTAAGTTGTTATTATATACCGTATACAGATGGACAATGCTAACCCACTAGCTCAACGAAGCATGTGGCTAATGTACCACACTTTTCAGTCATATTTGGAACTACCTTCTTCTCGAACAGGTAGAATCCGGCGTCGGCAGATGCAGACTCCCTCCGGTCCTCGTCTCTGTTTGCACCAGAGCTGTTCTTGTTGTTTTCCTTTTGCCGGTTTAACGTTTTGGCCCAACGCTCCATGTCCTTTGCTATCTGCAACATAGTTTAGAAACATATTGTACTTTTGTCTAAGTGGACAATCACTGACATATTAAAGCTAATTCCGAAGAACAAATACACATTATTAAAAAAAAATTCTTCAAGAACATTAACGCCACGTTATGGTGATGTCACACTCCAAACACAGGCTCTATGAGAGGGAGTTAGTTACACTTCATACTCAATATCCATATATTTTTGGAATTCAGATTCCAAACCATGAAACGACAAAGTGAATTGTCTCATTCTAACTTTTCATGGGAAACCCCTAGAGAAGAAATATCAAGGCCATAGTTACCTGTTGCGCAGACTTGCTCTTTGGCTTGTCCTTCTTGTCTTTGGGCTCTTTGGTCGCGGCTGCTGCATTACTTGTGGACGGGTCTTCGGTGCTTGTTTCTGAGCCTGGAGCTGGGAGGAACAGCTGCTTCTCACTGTCCCAGTACAGATACTGCTGCGTCTCAGCGTTATAGAAATACTGTAGAGACCAAGTGAAACAATACAAGAAATGTGAATGAATAGTTCAAATCAATGTCTGTCTCTCCCTCCCTCTCTGGCCTCTCCCCCTCTCTGGCCTCTCCCCCTCTCTGGCCTCTCCCCCTCTCTCCCTCTCTCCCTCTCTGGCCTCTACCCCTCTCTGGCCTCTACCCCTCTCTGGCCTCTACCCCTCTCTGGCCTCTACCCCTCTCTGGCCTCTACCCCTCTCTGGCCTCTACCCCTCTCTGGCCTCTACCCCTCTCTGGCCTCTACCCCTCTCTGGCCTCTACCCCTCTCTGGCCTCTACCCCTCTCTGGCCTCTACCCCTCTCTGGCCTCTCCCCCTCTCTCCCTCTCTGGCCTCTCCCCCTCTCTCCCTCTCTGGCCTCTCCCCCTCTCTGGCCTCTAACAACACCATGTAGCTGAAGTCCTACTGAGGGGAAACAATGATGAAATATGAATGTGCAGTGAGGGTTACCTGACTGTTGGGGTCGTAGTAGAGTCCGGTCAGAGGATCATAGAAGTAACCTGAAGACTCGTCGTACTGATATGAGGTGGTATCCGGAGCGACTGCAATCACAGAGAGATGAAATAAGTTAAAGTTAAGTTGCCATTGTTCACATCAAAACTTGCTCCAATAAACAGCTTCAAAGAGCGACTTCTTGTTACCTGCAGCCATAACTGAGACTGGAGGAGCTGTTCCCGGCAGAGCAGTAGGGAGAGACATGTGTGCAGCGTCCGCAGGATTCACCATCTGCAATTTACATTTAAATGAGTAAAATAAATGTAAAACAAAAGCTCGATACTGTGACTAATTCTCTACAGTAGTGTTTAGAATTGGGGTGTACAACCGATGACTAGAGCCACATGGAAGCCTTCTGGCGTGGTTGATTAGCAGTATTAGCGTATTAGTGTAAGATTAGTTTAGCATTATCTATATGTCAAGAGAATCAGGAGTGTAGATTACTGTGAATAAAAGGCACCAGAATACAGTAAATGCCTATTTTGCTCCCGGTCCTAGAGAAAGACACGCAGGCACCCCATAATAATAAATGGATCTAGTAGAGAATAAGTGTTGGAATTAATTTGCATGACGTCCTGCCATCAATGGGGGCACAACTTTGTCCTGGCTGAGCCCCTTGCATGACCAATTGTGGGTAACATCACAGCTGACATATATAGGGCTTATATAGGACTCTTTCTGGTTTCTGTCTGACACATCAAATGGACTCTTGAGGGCCAGGGCGCCTGTGCCTCTCCACCCATTGTCTTTGTGTGCACAGTATGTAATGTATGCACAGTATGTTTATTTTCTATTATCTGTATCTTGTAACCATTTTTAGTTAATTAAATGTCCTATTTTATATTAATTTGCCTAATATATGAAATCAACTTCTTCTCATCATGTTTATTATCCCTTCTTGAAATGTTACAGTAGACTCTTACTGGCTTTCTTTTGGTTTGAAACTGTTCTGATTAGAGTTGAAGATTGCAGACTACAGATCTAGAATATTGAGTCGTCCGTTCCCACTTGAATTCACTGCTATGTGGTCAGAGTAACTTGATAGAACGAAGCATTTTAGCGTCTCACGTCCTCGGCAGACTAAAGAAAGACCTGCGGAACCTCTCCTTCACACATCGAGGATGAATAAGTCTGTCACTGAAGCTGCTCTAAAGCATTTGTCAAGTCCGTCGACAGAGCCCGTCTTTTAAGTAACATTATGTGCGTCCCGAGAGGCTTCATGTCATGGGCCACTATCCCATGGAATTTTGCATCTGAGCCAGTATTTAGACACCGCTGCTCTAATCTATTTAATATATCTGCCTTTTCACCCTAAAAACGTGAGCGATGTGCGTTTTCTTCCCATTTACCTGCATGGGGGGTGGAACTATCATGACTGGCTGATAAACCTGAGCAGACTGAGACAGGACCACACCAGGAGGCATTAGACCTGGAGCAGCTACAAAGAGACAGAATCCAAATCAAACCAGTCATTATGGATTTAACTCAAACCGAACAGAGCACAAAAGCAGTGTAACGTCTTTTATACCTCCGAGTAAACCGTCTCCCACTGGAGCCAGAGCGTCCGGCAGGTGGTAACTTTGGTCCTAAAACAAATGTCCATCAGATTACAGCTCACGACATGTGGAATATTTGTGAATCTTGTCTTGTGCAGTTTTTTAAGTCTCACCTGTGGAGCATAAGCCTCTGGGGCGGACATGAAGGCGGAGTTTGCAGATTTCTGCTTTAGCTACGACAGAAAAAAGTGTTATTAAAACTATTATTAGAAAGTTCATGAAAGGGAAGCGAGGTTATAATCGGCATGTTGACAATTAAATTCAAAAGATGTTGAGGGGAGAATGTAATCGGTCGTGTTCATGTGACATCACAGCATGGCAAAGAGCTATAGTTTACTTGCAACTATGGTAAGAGTCAAAAGTCAAGGTTCTGTTCTAGAGCTCTGTTTTACCCTGCTCTCCTCTGATTGTCCCTCTTGGCCTCGGTTCTGTCCAGGCCGAGCTGTTTTGAACGTATCGTCAAAACATCCAGGTAGAGCAGAGTGGAGTAGAGCAGACTATAGTACGGCCAAGTAGGAACAGGGTGCAACTATGCTAAGCTAAAATATTGTGAAAAGCAGTGAGGAGTCTGTGCTATGCTACAGTATTGACAGCGCACAGCTCAGACCTGGCTCGAAGACCACTGAGCAGCTGCGATGGCCGTACTGGCGACAGAGAGAGCGTTGGCTCGGATCCCATCGGTCAGAGCAGAGTCCCTGGAAAACACAGATGTCTCGTTAATCTGACTCTACTGTAAGTGACAGCCACAACGCTATGTGACTCTGGCCCAACGCCAAAGATGGAGGCGTGCAAAAAAGACTGGAAGTATGAGAGTGTGTCTAGAGATTTTATACGAATACCATAACTTCTACCCGATTACCCTAGATAACACAAAAGACATTACTTATTTGCCATGTATGAATATGACCACTGAGCAAAACATTGTGTACAGTGGTCCCAGGTTTAGTGTGGGGGTAATGTGCTCTGAAAATAATCCACAACAAGTGATATCCTTGAAGTAGCACTGTATGTTTTAAGGCTGTAAAACCCCTCACACACTTCACACACTTTTTTAACCACCTGAACTCACAACCCCTGATGTGAGAGAGATATCAAACCTGTTGGCTGTAGGACTGAGCACTGCTGCAGCTGTTGTCAAAAGCTGTGCATACACTGTCATATACAGCTGCAGAGGACACTGAGGGGCAGGAGCAGGACACAGGTCCTCAGGGAAACCAGAGAGAGAAATAACAGAGAAAAAGCGGATAGAGAGACCAGAGAAAGAGATCAAGGAGAGAGCCCTGTGAACTATCCACAGCAGTGCAGAAACTATGTGACGAGTGTGAGTGACGACAACCAAATGCTTTTCATCTAGATCTTGGCACTTACTTTCTGGCACTTTTGGCAAAATCCACACCAATAGTTTTCCCGTCGAGCTTCAGAGGAGGCTGCAGACCCTGGAGCATGGTCAGCAACTGGGACGCCTCCTGTGGCAGACGGAAGGTATCAGGTCACCCCAAGAGCTGGCAGTAAAACACCACGACACAGGAGTAAGACGTACCAACGGGGAAGACAGCTGCACGAACACAAAGCCCCGGTTCTGTCCCGTCTGCTTGTCTTTGATGAGGCGGATGTGTCCAGGGTTCAGGTTCACGAACGGCGACAGTAAAGACAAAATACTGTCGACAGAGGAGAGTGGCGGAATGTTCCTTAGAATGATCGCTGTAGGGAAAAAGAAAGAATGGTTATGATCCAGGACATTTATGGACATAAGTCATCCGCCCCTTTTGGACCAATGGCTCTATGTGATGTGTTCAAACTATTTGATTCTCTGATCAGTGTTGGCAAATTGACAACTTATAGGACTTTCAGACAGAAGGGAGCAAGAACTGGTTACCTAATGGCGCCCAGAGTCAACACTAAACTTCCTGAAAATGTGACACCGTTTTTTGAGACAATAAGCATTTAAATCCTGCATTTTGAATACCCGTTTTATCACAAACACTCTACTCTGACAGGGATTGGCCAGAGTGCTGCTGGGAGCCATGGTAACCAAGAACTGTTGTGGGTAGGTTGTTAAGTAAATCTGGTACCATGTCCTAAGTGTAAAGGAAACAAAACCAGGTAAGCCCAAGTCGGGATGGTGGAAAAGGGGTTTATATATGCATGTTATGCACTCCAGTGTGCTCCTACTACTGTCCTATATGTGTGCTGCAACACTGAAATGTACCCACTGTGGGACAAATACCTATTATCTTATATTAAATGCATAAAAGCACTTTGAATTATTGTACGAAATGTGGCTTAAAATAATGTTTACCTTGACACACAGTACCCATTAGAACAAATTTTTATTTTTATTTTTTTAAAGAGGGTACTCACTGTCTCCATTTTTCCATTGACTCAAGTCTCCAACTTGAGCAGCGCCGCATCTGAAGCACTTTAGTCTTTTCCGGAAATTGTAAAGACCGCACTGGAAACGCATAACAAAGCTGGTCAGTTATCAAAATAAACTTGTGTTACTACATCAATAGAACTATATATACTTACTGAGCTGCAAAGCCAGTTCTCCGCTTTCTGTCTACTGTTACTGTAGTGCACTGCAATGTTTTTCCCTTGGATCACCAGCTTGTCCTGCAAAAGTCCAAAACTGAAATTATCTCTGCGCTGCTGAATACAGTGCCCCACCGCTTGAGTGAGCACAGCCGGAGCAGGGAAGAGTGGCTAGACTCTCTTTGGGGTCGGAGGGGGGGACAGAAGTAGACAGAGGGCTTCAGAGGCAGCGGGTGTGTGCCAGCAATCTCAAATAATCAAAATAAATACGTGTTTGGGATCGGAGTGCTGCCAGCTCATTTCTCTCGCTCCAGTCTTCGGAGGTTACATGGAGATGAGATGTGCATGTCCAGAGCTGGAGCAATGTGTGTGGAGCTATGTGGTTTTTCAGTGTACAGAGAAGAGCCTGTAGTAGTAAACTCTAGTTTGGTAAACAGTAGCATGACTTTACACTGCGGGCCTAAATAATTCTCAGTACATTCTGTGCGTTCATGTCTTGTATACAAAGTCAGATAATTGGGTCTGTAATCGCCAAGAATAAAGTCTAAACTTGGTGATTGTTGAGGCAACCTGATTGGTCTCCATCCATCGTGCTGAATCTTGCAAGTGATAAAACTCCACGAAGGCGAAACCTCGGCTTATACCTAGAGACAGCATTCAGATATAGACGGGAGGCGTGTTAGTGAGAATGCCTTGGTGCAACATGTAAACTCACAATCGGCTGGGATGTAGCTTAAGAGACAACATCAGGGAAGGTGATTTGTTCTGTGTAAACCCAAAACAATGCGATTACCTGTCCGTACCGACAAACCATACATGTGTAAGTCCAGGGATGGCCAATGGAAAGGGCTTTTTTTTGATCGCATAAAGAGATAGATAGATAGAGAGATAGAGATAGAAATAGTGAGAGGGACAGAAGCCCTACAAACACGGTCATATTCACCTGTGCGTTTCTTCATCAGCCGGATGTCGACAGGTTGTGGCCCGGACAGCTGTTCCAGTGCTGTGCGAATCTGCAACAAAAGGCCAATGTCATTAGTCCTGGTTTCAAGTCTTCCGTCAATTTGATTTTTGAACATTAGGTCCCCTATCTTTAAGTGTTAGACACTGCGGTTTGTTTAGGAGGGCAATTTTTATTCTATTAATTTAACCAGGAAAGCCCCATTGATATTTCATAATGGGGTTGGGGAAGGTGTTAGCGAGAGTATTTAGTGTTTTGGTGGTACTCCACACAAATATGTCTAGAGGTGGAATCAAACCCAGGACTTTCTTGCAGTGAAGCACAAGCCTATTCAAAAGTTTATATTGTTACGTCTATACTTATAATATAACCCTTTGCTTGTATTAAGATTCCATTCCTTAAAATTGACAAATAAGATATTTGACAGTTTGAGTATGCACTGAGCAGTAGAAATTAAAGCATACGTCATCTTCAGTCACGTGGAGCGACAGGCCTCTCAGCATTATGGTTTTGCTCTCCTCGTCGGACTCCATCCTCGGGTCCTGGTTTGGGTAATCCTCATACTCTTCGTCCGAGTCGTTGCTGTGGCGCCGCTTTCTCCCCCTCTGTCAAACACAAACTTGAGGGTTCTTATTCTCATACACATTTACTTGGAAATGAGTGAAATGTAGACAAAAAAACAATAAAAGTCAATTCTGACACTAAAAATACCAATTTCAAATCTCTTCTTTTAGAATGACATTTTTAAAATAATGAATTCAACATAATAGTACTTGAATTAATTGTACCACAAGGTTTTAAAGTAGTTCAAAAATGTTCCAGCTCTGTCTCACCTTTCAACCAGTTAGCGATTATTTTCCCTGTATTGATCATTTCTGACCACAACCAAAACCTCGTAAAGACCAGACCAAAACCAGATCAGTGAGATCACACCTGAGACCAGACTGGGTCCAGAACCAAGGCTGACACAGGGACAAAGACCAAGACCAAGTCCACTACCAAGACCAGTCCAAAACAAAGATCAGGATAACGTGAGTGGAGCAGTACATCACCTGAGTGTGCAGGAGTCACCCAAGTATTATTAGTATGTTTTTATTTCAACTAAATATTCATTACCAAAAGAGCAAGTGTTCGGCCTCATGTTTCTACATGATGTCCAACACGTCTACAGCTGTGACTGTGTTCTCTGTACCTCTGGACTGTAGTCGTCGTAGTCATCATCGTGTTTCTCGTCGCTCCATCGATGATCATAGTCTCTGTCCTCGTTCCGGCTTCTTCTGTCGCGGCGGTCGCCATCTTCTCTGTGGCCGTCTGAGCCGTACCTTCCGCTGCGTTCACTTCGACTGGTCCTGCAAAAACAAGGGGTTTAAATCTATTTGGGACTCACTGCTGAGAATGTAGAGGGGTACTTTCTTCAAGTTAAACGGCATTGTAATTAATTAGTTAAATAAATTAGTTAGAATATAAAATCTTAAAAGATCATACATGCTAAAGTAATAGGTTAAATACGTTGTTCTGTACTAGGCTCTAAAAGATGCACTGAAAAAGTATTTTTCTTCAGTGTATAGTTTGTCCCTTATCAACATATGTATATCACGATGACGCATTGACATGGAGAGTCATGGATGTACATTTATAGGTCAAATTCTAAGCCTATGATAACAATTCAAAATATGGTGGAGGTAAATATTCTAAAAAACATGTTTTTTTATTTGGAGTAACTGTAAAAAATACACACAGTATTGTTCTCAAAGACGAATGATGTCCGGATTTTGGGCGATACACAAATTGAGTAGAATCATATTTTATATCTTACATGTATTTGTGTTTTTAAACCAGTGTTCTTATCATGTGTTATGTATTCATGCGCATGAAGCGTAATCACTGGTAATAACTCAACTACCTTGTCTTTAGATTCTTACCTTTTATCATTTCCCATAATGCCGGTTGACTAAATATCCTGAAATCAAAAGGAAATGTATGAAAGATTAAGTTTATAAACAAATAAGGGTGTGCCGACTGTATCAGGGTCAGTCTGCAGCAATCAGCTAGCATTAGCATGAGGCTAGCGTTAGCATTTAGCATCCTACTTCCTCAAGTTATTATGCATTTTAGACACATAACGAAGCGCCACGTGCTGTTATAGCCCGGGGTTTACTTACACGCGTGAGTGTGTTATTTTCACAAATCTGCTCGACCTGATATGTTTCTCAAAATGGACAATCAGCGGCTCTTTTTCCTCAGTCACAGGAAACGCGTCAGTTTCATGGATGTAGCATATTATGCAATGCCAGGTTGTGTGAGACTTACAAGTAACTAAGCATTGAAAAAGGGCCGATAAAGACAAATGCATCACTACAAGGAATTAGATCAGGTTATTAATTTGTTATTCAAGCCAGTTCACGAATGGAATCAATACTTTCTTGTTTTGCTGGGGACTTATATTATCATGTACAGTCTATGGGTCAGATATAGCAGGGGTCTCCAACCTTTGAGAGCTAATTTCATTATAAAAATGAATGGCATAGAGCTATTCCTTTAAACAGCCGTAATACAATTATAGTCTACACAATAACTACAGATAATCATGGAGAACACATATGCATAATGTACCATTATACCGAAGAGTATCTCTGCACTAATGAAAACTTTGGGTTGCACTGCACACTTTGGGTTTCTGCATGAATTGTGCTTTAAACATAAACTTGAAAGATTGAAATTCATAGATAGAATATTAATAATGAAATTTTCGGTCTATGAGATAGACTCACAAGTTAACCATTCAGTCAGGATCATGTGTTACATTCTTGTATCTGGTTTCGGTAAGAAAAAACAGAGAAAGAGGAAGACCAGAGAGAAATTAGGAAAGCTTTCTCCTCGTCCCCCTGATCTTTCTTTTAGATGACTCATCGATCGACTGGCCTTTAGTCGATCTAGAATTTATTTGGTTACAGAAAACTGGGAAAAAAAATCTCTATAAAGAAAACTATCTGGCAACTCGACTCAAGCTTCGTCACTAATCGTCATTAAATAAATTCCTCTACAGTGACAACCTGTCATATTTACAAATACAAAAGTTAGAAATAATGGGTTAAATAACGCAATTTAAATTGCGTCGATTAATGTATTTCGAGAAATTCTTTTGAATAAATTACAAGATCTCTCTTCTCCTTATCTATCGCTAGATGGCGCTACTTGCATGCCTATGGCTGCTACAACCTGCTTCTCCATTTAGTTGATCCGACATATTTAGTTTCTCAAAAACAGCAATTTATGGCACCTGAAAGAAGAATATAGCACTCCCTCCAGCAGTGAATGGTGGTGACATCTTTCATTCATCATTAAATCTCCGCTGGTTTCTTCATCACGGCTCCATCTCCCGACAGTGACCCATCAGGAAAAAGGTAGCACAATGCTAATGCTAACGCTAGCCTATCTGCATAAATGTTGTTATGTATTTATATGGATGCTGGGCATTCAATGCATGTGTATGTTCTGTTTCATTTGTGATACGAGCTAATTAGTACATAACACTACATCTTTGTCCACACGTTTATCTGTAGAGGCTAGTTAGCACATCGACATGTCCTGATCTCTAAACTAACCTTATTTTATGTTTTTTCCCAAATCAAACTTTGATTTTAGCCAGCGAGCTCGATGGCTGAACCGGAGTTGCTGCTGGACTCCAACATACGACTATGGGTGGTGCTGCCCATTGTCTTTATCACATTTCTAGTTGGAATCATTCGTCATTATGTCTCCATTCTCCTTCAAAGCGACAAAAAGCTGACCCTGGAGCAGGTGTCGGACAGGTTTGTACCGAAAGTCTGTGTGTATAACATGCATATAAATCCATGACTGCATTTGTCTTCTTTCCGAGTTCAGTCAGGTTCTAATTCGCAGCAGAATCCTCAGAGAGAATGGAAAATATATCCCTAAACAGGTAGCTATTAAGAGTATACACTGTAAATGAGACCAGTCCCCCAACCACTTCTACCAATCAACTGTAGTTAAACAATACATGCTGTAAAATAATGTAAATTTTTTCCTCCCAGTCGTTTTTAATGAGGAAATTCTTTTTCAACAATCAAGAAGATGGATTTTTCAAGAAGACCAAAAGAAAAGTTGTTCCCCCGTCACCAATGACCGGTGCGCTGAGTTTGAATGTTTTGTCATAACTCTCTATTTATATTTATCTTTGTTGTAAAGACTTTTATTTCTCTTCAGACCCCAGTATGTTGACAGACATGATGAAAGGGAATGTGACTAATGTGCTTCCCATGATTCTCATTGGAGGCTGGATAAACTGGACATTTTCCGGGTTTGTAACAAGTGCGTATCTTTTGAATTTCTTAATAAACCACATTCTATAAAGACTATTTCATTCCTTATTCTTGTCTTAATTTTATTTCAAAGCTAAAGTCCCCTTCCCCCTCACACTGCGCTTTAAGCCTATGCTGCAACAAGGAATAGAGCTGCTCTCTCTGGATGCTTCCTGGTAAAGTCATCAATAATCTATGCAGTCATTATAATTCACCTGATTGATATCTGTTTATAATTTTCATTCTGTTCAGGGTAAGCTCCGCATCGTGGTACTTCCTCAATGTCTTTGGGCTAAGAAGCATGTACTCTCTAATCTTAGGACAAGACAATGGTGAGTTTTTTTTACACTTACAATTCAATTTAGGGCTGTTTACCCCTAAATAAAACTCTGTAGTCACCTCGAAGTACTTTACCAAGTTATGGATTCGCCAACAACAGATCATGGAATGAAACAATTCGAACATAGGAAATGCAATAACTGTTGGCACACGGTCCTGGCCAGATGAGACATGTCCACAGGTGCAGGTCAAACAGACAGTGGGTGAATAGCAATGAATAGACAACATCTGAAGTCTCACTGATGACAGATGGAGGAGAGGGGAGAACATAGGGCTGTTTACAAACTTCTCTAGCAGGGGTTTCCATATGCAGCGTCACAATCTGCATTTTTGATTTTAAGGTTGTATTCCCCCCTCCCCCGACCCAGAAATGGATTAAGAGGAAGAAAATGGATGGATGGATGGTTGTGTGTCTCAAGTCTCACCTACCAAGCCATAAATGTGTAATTAAATGCGGAACTCAAAAGAACTGGCCTTGAATGTGAGCTGATTCCATAGTATAGGAGCTTGGCAGCTAAATGCTCTGCCTCCTACTGTCATACTAGATTGTCTCACAAGGAGCCCTCTGCACTAGGAGCGATGGTTTGGTTATAAAGACCTGTCTGGGTGAAGTTTTGGCGCCTGCCTCATCTCCTCTGGCTCCTCTCCTCTGACTCTTGGTGCATTTCAAACCCCTGATGTTGCTTTTTGCACTCTATCTAATGCGCATCATTTAGTTTATGTGAGTGGGAGGAGGTGCATGTGATTGCTGCTCGTAGGTTGTTTAAGAGTGGAGTTGAGTGGTTGGAAGTGGGTAGGAGTGTGGAGTTGTTTGGGTGGCAGTATCTCAGTGGGAATACATGTGCGCATATGTTGAGTGAAGTGGATAATGACTATGATTCAGTTTGTTTTCTATCAATAACACGAGAAACGTACAATACATAGTCCGTTAAGAAGCCTGACTGAGGGTCTTTGTGCTTATTTAGACACACTGGGGCCTTTTTATTGAGGTTTCAGATGTATATGGGTTTGGTGTCGTCATGATGTGATTTGATAAGAGATCTGTTCAATCTCTTCGGTACATCTCTCAATCCTCACCCCTCTCCAACCCTCATCCCTCTTTTCTCCCCCCTCCAATCATCTCTTGTCTCTCCCCTCACCAAACCTTCTCCACTCTCCAAACTCTCTTCCCTCTCTTGGAACCCTCATCTCTCTTTTCTCCCCACTCCAAAGTTTCTCCTCTCACCCTCACTCCTCTCCTCCCCTTTCTTCCTGGATGTTAAAAGCTGTGATCTGTTTCAGATTAACTGGGCAGACCTCCTTTTTGGTTCATGCACGGCGTCTGTCGCAGCTTAATTGATAATTTCATAACATCATTATGGAGGTCTTTCATTAATTGAATAAGTCGCACCAAAGACACTGGTTTACCTTAACGAGACCTTGTTTTACGACTCATATCTCCTGATACAAACAGCGCTGGCTCATGTGTGTTTCAACTCTTTTTATCATATTTTCACAGGTGCTGATCAATCCAGGATTATGCAAGAGCAAATGAGCGGTGCAGCGATGGCAATGCCAGCAGACACGAACAAAGCTTTCAAGGTAAATATATATCAACTTTTATCAGAAAGACTGCTGTTATAACTACAGGTGATGTATATAGATGGTCAGTGCTAACAAGCTAGCTCAATGAAGCCCAATAGCAAGTGCTCATGGACAAAGTTTTGTTCCAACTCTCTGGTACTATTGACTTGTAAGTAAGAGTAAACTCCTTGCTGAGTCACTGTTGGTGTCACAATCACTATTTTGCGCTTATAAATATCTGTGGTTTAGCACTCCCTTTGAATAGTCTTTAGTAAATACATATCTGAGGCCTGTTATTCGGTTTCAAGTAATTTCATACACATTTAGAACAGACCAGACCCTCCCCTCTTGTGGATAACCACATCCACCAACAATTGCTCCGAACTAAACTTGTCACTGACTATCTCCATGTATCTGTTTATGCTGCTGTTGAACTGATGCCAAAATTGGTTGAATGTTTACACTGGGTTATTTATTTATGGGGATTTAGTCTCTCTCTCTGGCTTCTTCTCTCTAGTCCCTCTCTCTTTGGTCTCTCTGTCTGGTGTCTCTTGTCAGTCTTTCTCCGGTCCCTCTTCGGTCTTTTTCTGATCTCTCTCTATGGTTGCCTGTCTCTTTAGTCCCTCTTTAGTCCCTCTCGTGTCTCTCTCTGGTTACACCATTCTATGCAGTGTAGTCCATGCTCTAAACTTCCTTTCTGTTGCCCTCTGTGTCAACAACATTACATTGTCCTTAATCTTCTCTTCCAGGCCGAGTGGGAGGCCCTTGAGCTGACTGACCACCAGTGGGCGCTAGACAGTGTGGAGGAGGACCTTATGAGCCGAGAGCTGGACTTTGATGGCATGTTCAGCAAAGAGTTACCCACTGGCATCTTCTAAACGTCTGGAGCCTTCTGTTCTGTTTCAGGGATTTGCTTTGGTTCAGAAATGGGACAAACCCCCTCAATGTTATGCAAAGTTTACATTCCTTTAAACAGTCCAAACATTTCACTAGATGACTCATTCCTTTTTTATAGTTTGATAGCTGGAAACTAAAAATAACACTTGCTTTAGTGTAGTGTTCCACAATGTTGTGCTTGGTCAGACCGGGTCAGACCTTGTGGGCCTTAAAGCATTAATATTGGAATAATCTGTGAAGTAAGCGCTCCTGTTTCTCTGTTACAAGAAGTTTGCAATTCAACATTTCATTCTTGGTTATGAAAATGCCATATTTAACACTTGGACTCTGAAACTACTAGAACTCCCAGAGCCGTCATTTTGACTGCTCCCATTCGAACCAATGGAAAAAGAAATTACCCCAAAGAAATTTTTAGTTTCACACCAGATAAAGTAATTTATAAGGCTTTTACCGTGCTCACTTTAAATAAGTTGAACAGTTGATTATAACTGCAATTGAAATACAGAAAAAACAAGCTTAAAGCTAAATTCTGACAGTGCAGTGTGTTGCTATGGTAACTAGTACTTAAATATGAATATAAATAATTTCATAAAAAATTAAAGGCACAAATAAACTAAAAATTCGGGCATGAGCTGAGGACATACACTTCCAAAACTAAAAGTTGTCTGACTGCTCTCGGAGGTCTAGTATTAACGAGATTACATTTTAATTCTAAATGACTTATTAATTGACTGACGGTCGCTGGATTATTAGATTTTGATTTGTGTATGAATTAATAATGACCTATGTTTTTTTGTCATGTATAAAATCCTGTTTGGGCAAGACTGTGTAGCTGCCTTCATTTTCTCCTCAGTAAATTGCAGCATAGATGTTGTGATGGTAAGTGGAACTCCCTCTGCCTTTTCTGGTCATACATTGTCCTTTTTTCACAATTTTTTTCCAACAAAAATCCATACCACATATTTTGAGTTATGACTAATGAGAGGATTGGTTTTGGTGGATAATCTCATGTTTTCTTACATAATTTCAGTAGAGTTCTTTCAGATGGGACCTGCTTTCCAGTTCCTATGGCACACAATGTATACTGTTACCATAATTTATTTTATTTTTACACCTCTGCAGATTTGGCTCGTAACCTGTGTTAGTGACGTCACTTTTTGTCTGAAAGGTCCCACAGAATAGGAATTAACTCTTCAAGCTACATCAGAATGGACCTCAGCCTGTGGACCTTTTTTCATGACCATGTTATTTGTCTTAACAGATTCCTAAAAGTTACAATTTGTGAACAAATCAGACCACAACATGGTCTTTATCTTAATAGCAAACATGTAATGCTTTCATCTTTGCGGTTCACGGACGATGTAATCCTGTTTGCGTCATCAGTCCAGAAGAAAGTGCCTTGCCCTCTCCAGAAGCAGAGGACCTTCTTCCAATGGAGGAGTTCAAGATTCTCGAGGTCTTGTTCATCAGTTAGAGAAGAATGGTGTGTGAGATTGATTGGCGGATCTGTGCAGTGGTGCGGTTGCTGTATTGGACTGTTATGGTGAAGAGAGAGCAGCGTCTGCTGTCTGAGCTCTCAATTTACAGCTTGGTCTATGTCCTCTCCCTCACCTCTGATCATGAGTTTGGAGTAATGACTGAAAAGACAAGATTGTGGTCTTCCCCCATAGTGAGGTCAGTCACATGGAGCTCGGAGTAGAGTTGCTGCTTCTCCACGTGGAGCAAAGCCAGTTGAGATAGCTTGGGCATTTGCCTCCTGGTCTCCTCCCTGGGGAGGTGTTCTGGGAATGTTCCACCAGTAGGAGACCAGGGGAAGTCCTAGGACACGTTTGAGGGACTGTCTCAGCTGGCCTGGGAGACGTGGAAGTGTGAGGCTATGCTCAGACTGATGCCCCCTCAACCAGATAGAGTGGAGGAAAATGAATGGATAGAGAAAACAAGTTATATTTTGCGTACATGTGTGAAAAAAATCCCTCGAAGTCACTATTTGACATTAGGTGGTCCTCTATGTTTCACTTTTCTGTCTGAAAAAGGTGTCTTATGTGAAGATATATGAACTAGTGGGGGATGCAAACTGTTTTGAAAAAAAGGAACTATTTTTAATTAATTTCATGACATGGTTTCCCGTTTTATGTTGGGTACTGCGAGGTATCTGATTAGATAAAGGGAAATTGAAAAGTAACTTGTTATTGGTAGCAGTATAAAATATCTATTTAGTTTCTAATCTAAAGCATATATGGACATTTTCCACTAAAACATGTAATCGCTAATCTCTTGATATTGTCGAAATTCTCCATGGCAACGATTTTTGACGTTTCAATTCTGCGTTCAATTTAACAACTTTTCTACCGCTGCATTGGTCTAAAACTAGGCAACCATTATTGCCAAAGGAGCAAACCACACACATCTATTACATGCGCGTCTGTGTGTATTTCCTGTGCGCGGTCCCTACACCGGCTCACTCACTGCACGATGGCCGAAGGAGGCGGACCTGACTCGGGCGGCGCTGGGGACTCCGAGTCGGAGTCGCCGGTCGCTGTTACACAAGCCCCGTCCCCTTCTACCGAAAACCAAAAACAAACTGTCGGGTCTCTTATCAAAACCACCCTGAGGAAAGGCGATGAATGGTAAGGCTCGCAAAAAGACTTATCATCAGTTAGCATTAGCCGGGGAGCTAAGTTGTAGCAAACAGGAAATGCTAGCATGCTAACTATGGCTTTGGAATTGGCATCGGGTGGTGTTATGCTAGCTACTGGTAGTTATTTTACATGCTAATGTATGACTGGGTAGCAGGTTAGCATTAGTAGCTCTACATTTCACTTTCAGTTCTGCGGAAGAGGGTTGGGCAATGCCAACTACCAGACTATACACGTCTTAAATGCCACCTGCCTCCATTGGTAAAATGTTATTGTCCTTAAATGATTCACTTATATAGGCCTGTGTAATGACAAGTTAGCTGGCACAGGCTGATGGGCTGATAGATCTGATATTGCGGGCCCAGTGGGCTGCTTATAGTCAAACCGGTTTGTTTTGACAAGGGTATTTATCAGGAAGTAAAGCTTACGCACGAGATAGTTGTCATACTTTCGATTTGTTGATTGTTTTATTGTAAAGTCAACGGACGTGGCTTAGCATGACACACTGACAACCACAGTGTCGTTGATGTGAAACTTGAGGCTGTCATTGGACTGTTTTTGACTATGACATTAATGTTTCACAAATGTTTGATATAAATGTGCACTATAGTCCCGTTTCCACCAGCTCTTTTTGGCTCTAATCTACTCCCACTCCGACTCCTACTCTACTCTGATTGGGAGTCTGTTCCTTCAGGAGTGTTTCCACCGGCCCTGTTTAACCAGTACCAGGTCATTCTTTAGTCACTCTTGGCCCTGGTTCTATTCCAGCCTAGCTAGTTCTAAAGCATTATAGTGGCCAGACGTCTGGTACTACAGTGTTCTGGTGGCCAGACTGCTGCTGGAAGCCATGGATACTGGTTTGTTATGGGTAGGTTGCTAGGATACAGTACCAGATACTAAATTAATCTGGTACCAGGTGCAGTATAGTTGGGCTGGTGGAACCTGCTTATCTCTACGGTGCTGTTATTGCTCTGCCTGCAAGTCCATTATGACACATTAGCACTGAATGTGTGTCTAACCTCATAGAACAAACAGGGCGGTTAAAAATGGAACCATTTTACCTGGAGATCACAAACCAGTACTTGGCTGTTTTTAGACCGAATCACTACTTTGTCAACTTGCATAGTATAACATTTTCATACGCATGCTTTATAACGAGAATCCAGATCTCACAACTCATACAGTCCATACAGTATGAGTTAAGCCGGCGATAATGAATATTACGTTAGCGTTTTGGACTAGGCCCATAAGCTTTGAGCCAATTGAGGACTATTTGAACCAAATAAGGAAATGTGAGATCTAGTTTTATTTTTGTGGAATGTTCGAAACATAACATCATTCAAACTCTAACCACCATACCATCAACTGGTTTAGCAAAAAACCCTTTTTGCTCAAGCCTGGCACATTACATATTTTTGTAAGACTAGTGTTCATTGTGCTTTGTCCCTGATCAAAACAAAATTCAAATAATGTCAGAGGTGCAGTAAAAGCTATTGAATTGAAGCAGCAAATGAAAACATAAATTTTATGCTGCATTCACTTATTTTTTTGTCCACATCTCATGTGTTGCCTTCAAAGATAAAATAAAACTATTCTGATGATGGAGAGAATTCAAGCCAATTCTAGATAATTATATTTCTTTGGGATTGGCTTTAATATTATTCAGTTTTTGTAGGTTTCTGTAGATTTTAAGTAATAATTTAAAAATTAAATCACAAATTGTCCAATCCTCTTTAAATTTTTGTTGGTATTTTGTGTGCTTGTTGGAAATAAATAACAAAGATCAGCCAATCTTGGGGGTAAATCATCCTCCAGTCCCAACTCGCATTGACTACAGGTCATGGGGGAAAAGGTTATTGATTCTCAGTAGTATGATTCAGTAAGTCTTGTTCTCCTTAATTACACATTTACACTGATTAAGATTCTTGCTGGGATCAGATCAGTGGGGTGAGTTAGCTGTAACTATATACAAGATTTGTTTTGGAAACTTGCATTTTGTTTTTGAATACAGCTATGAAGCCAGAAGTGACACGGCTCTTACAACTACATCTGTTTTAGGTATCTTATCGACAGCCGGTGGTTCAAACAGTGGAAGAAATATGTGGGTTTCGACAGCTGGGATATGTACAACGTTGGCGAGCACAGCCTCTACCCTGGACCTATTGATAACTCTGGTTTGTTCTCAGGTAAAAATAAAAAGTATTTAACTGCAGAGTGGTTTAGTATGCAGTAATTACATGAAGTCAATCCAGACGTACCACTGTCATAGTAACATTTTGTTTTAAGACCCGGAAACTCAGGCCCTGAAGGAGCACCTTATTGATGAGCTGGACTATGTTCTTGTTCCCACTGACGCCTGGAACAAACTCGTGAGCTGGTACGGCTGCCTGAAAGGCCAGAGGCCCATTGTTAGAAAGGTAATGGTAGCAGTAGACGTCATAGTTGTGGCTGTTTTTATAAATGTACGTTAAGGTTATTGTTATCTCCAGTGGATGTGTCAGAGTTCACAACATACAATAACAACAGATGCAGAGTTAGGTTTGGATTATGGCTTTGGGAAAAAAACATTTTTTAATGTACCATCTTTACATATTATACATGATACTAACATAAGTACATAAACAGTTTAGGGATTCCTTTGTTCATTCCTCAAACATTTTTGTTGTTGAGCACAGTTCTTACACAAGTTGTAAAAAAAAAAGTAAATCTTAAATGTATCAATGCATAACACAACATGTCCTGTCTGTAGGTGGTTGAACATGGCATGTTCGTCAAACATTGTAAAGTGGAAGTTTATCTGCTGGAGCTGAACTTATGCGAGAATGACAACATGGACAACGTCGTCACGCGGCATTTCAGTAAAGCCGACACTATCGGTAAAACAGAGCACGATTGCAAGAGTTTTAAAAAGACCTGTTCCTGTTCCTCACTGTGCTGTTCATTCTGTCTGCAGACACGATAGAGAAGGAGATGAGGACGCTGTTTAATATCCCTTCAGAGAAGGAGACGCGGCTGTGGAACAAGTACATGAGCAACACATACGAGCAGCTGAACAAGCCGGACAGCACGGTTCAGGACGCAGGGCTGTTCCAGGGACAGGTGAACCGTCATTCTCTGAAACCCAGTAGGAGAGGGCTTTATCTATGGTCTAAAACCCCAGGGGACAGGACCTTCTCTGTGGTCTTAAACCCAGGGGACAGGGCCTTCTCTGTGGTCTTAAACCCAGGGGACAGGGCCTTCTCTGTGGTCTTAAACCCCAGGGGACAGGGCCTTCTCTGTGGTCTTAAACCCCAGGGGACAGGGCCTTCTCTGTGGTCTTAAACCCCAGGGGACAGGGCCTTCTCTGTGGTCTTAAACCCCAGGGGACAGGGCCTTCTCTGTGGTCTTAAACCCCAGGGGACAGGGCCTTCTCTGTGGTCTTAAACCCCAGGGGACAGGGCCTTCTCTGTGGTCTTAAACCCAGAGCACAGGGCCTTCTCTGTGGTCTTAAACCCAGGAGACAGGGCCTTCTCTGTGGTCTTAAACCTGGGAGACAGGGCCTTCACTGTGGTCTTAAACCCAGGGGGCAGGACCTTCTGTCACCTTACCCCGGGAGATGGAGCTTTCTCTGTGGTCTCAAACTATAATATGTCGTAATTGTGTTTCACAGGTTCTTGTAATTGAACGCATGAATGAGGATGGGACATGGCCCAGACAAACATCTCACCCCAAGTAAAATGGACTTTCCAACACTTTTTTTTTTTGCATGTAGTAATTCCACCAGTTTATTTCCTTTTCTCTTTCATTAATAGATCGAGTTCAACAGCATCAAGGACTTTCACTACCTCTCCAAAGCTTTTGTCAAGCTCATCTGCCACGGCCTCGTCCACGGTCACCAACGGGGACAGCAGCAGTAGCAGCAGCAGCAGCAGCACAGGATACACGCTCAACAACAGCGCCTCCTCTGGCAACAGGCAGGACTCCAGGAACCAAAGGATTATTGTGAGGTGAAAGCTAAAATTTGACTTGTGATCTGCTTCATCCACAGAATGGGAGGCTACAGCTCATACAGCTCGTCTTATAACTACAGGGAGTCTCAGTCGCAGCCCGGTCTCTGTGGGCTCAGTAACCTGGGAAATACGTGCTTCATGAACTCAGCTCTGCAGGTAAAACAAGAGCATTATATACTTTTAAAGTAGATCTATTACAGTACCACAATTTCCCATTTACAAAATATTGAATAAAATAGTATCAGTTTTATAGAGCACTTTATTGGAAACTCGCAGACCCTTCACTCCATTATCCACTCACTCCAAACACATTGGTGATAAACTATTACCGTAGCCACAGCTGCCCAGGGACTGAGGCTGTAGATTCAGAAGGTCCGGGACTGAGGCTGTAGGTCCGGGACTGAGGCTGTAGGTCCGGGACTGAGGCTGTAGGTCCGGGACTGAGGCTGTAGGTCCGGGACTGAGGCTGTAGGTCCGGGACTGAGGCTGTGAGCAGCAGCGAGGGGGAGTTTCGAAAAATTAGTATTGCTTTTGAACCAGAAGTACTCCAGTGTTAACGTGCCCCTGAAGACTACTTATACATGTTTTCTTCATTGTTATCAGACATCTAGAAGCAATCTAAAACAAATGTAAAAAGAACGGGTTTTTTCACCTTCTAGTGCCTGAGCAACGCTTCCCCGCTCACCGACTACTTTCTGAATGACCAGTACGAGGCGGAGATTAACCGGGAAAACCCTCTTGGAATGAGGGGCGAGATTGCAGAGGCTTATGCTGATTTAGTCAAGCAAATGTGGCTCAGTCGGAGCAGTTACGTCGCCCCACGCTCTTTTAAAGTAAGTAGTTTTGTATTGCGGCAAAGCAGTAATTGTTCCTGTTTTGACTTGCTACATTGGGCTACACTCTAAAATACAGGACAAGAGGAGAACAGAAACATAGAAGAGACTGTACTAGAGAAATGCTGCCGCTCCATGTTTAGTCCTGACTCTGGGCACCAGCAGGAGGAGGCCAGTCCCTGTGCTCCTCAGTGTCTCAGTGGGTTCATATGGAACTAACACGTCACAGATTTACTTGCGAGTCCATGAAGAGACTTGTATGCAAGTAGAGCTGTGTTGAAGTCTATTCTCTAAGCCACGGGAAGCCAGTGCAGAGACCTGAGACCAGGACTAATGTGAATACTGCAGCTTTTTTACAGCTTGTTTGAAGAGCGCAGTGAGCAGCCGTTACAGTAGTCTTGCCTTCTGGAGACAAATGCAGGATAAGAATCTCCAAGTCGGCTTTAATCGCTATATTTTTCATCCTGGCAATGTTTTTGCTGCTGCTGTTACAGATTTGATGTGGCCAATAAAACTTAAATCTGAGTCCATTAGATACCCCGAGATAAAGCTTATTATTGGATTTATAGAAGCAGATGAAGTAGTGAAGAAGTAATAAAATTTATGTTTCATATTTTTCGATATTGACTTTTATTCACACGACTTCGTTTCTGTCTGCAGACCCAGGTCGGCCGCTTTGCTCCTCAGTTTTCAGGGTACCAGCAGCAGGACTCGCAGGAGCTGCTGGCGTTTCTTCTGGATGGTCTCCACGAAGATCTGAACAGGGTCAAGAAGAAGCCGTACCTGGCTCTGAGAGACGCAGAGGGGCGTCCGGACGAGGTACAAGCTGAACTCTTATGAACCATACATTAACCAATTGAGGCCGGGAACGCATTCCTGCCTTTCTACCTTTCAAGACGGGAGCGCTGTTACGCACTTCTACCTTTTTAAGGCCGGGAAAGCAGACACATCTTTTTTTTTCTACTTTTGACCTATTCTCGTCATTGATCAATTGTCTTGACCAATAGGACAATGTCGGGTTTCAGAAATGTGCTAAAATAGCTCCGATGACTGCACGCATGTTTCGGACAAACATTGTGTACGACTCCGTTGAGTACTACTGTGTTCTCCACATACGCGTGTGTATTAACTTGGGCTAAATCATTGAATCATGGTGACAACAAAACACTGCAGTTATGGTGCTTGTCGGAGCGATTTCAGATACTCTGAAAAGGACTATATGAAAGCGGTAACATTCAACCCGTTCGTTAAACCACACCATCAACAAGCGCAAGAGGTGGGTTCGTGCTTGTGGTTGGCAGAATTTCTCTCATGAAAATGTTAAAAAGGATTCATTTGTTCAAAAACACTTGGTCTGTGAAGCTGGACCAACTGTGAAGCATCCAGATCCAGTCCTAGCTACGTTTAGCTGGGACTGGATCTGGACCGCTGTATCAGGTCCGTCTGAGCTCTTCTGAATGTAGTTAGCACAAACTTTTTCTCTATACCATTTACCCCCATCAATCTTTCAATTCTCACACCTGAAGAAAGAGGAAACTTCGTGACTATCGGAAGATAAGATAAGATAATATAAGATAATATGTACGTTATTAATCTCACACAGGAGAAATTTACATGTCATGTTTGGCATGGATAGAAACACTCAAGATTGTGCAAAAAGTTGGAAATGTGCAAACAGGACATGACATATTATGTACAAAAGTGGCAATGAGAAGAAGTGTCAATAGTAGTGCAGGTTTTATCAGTCTTAGTGCAGCGACTTAGTGACTTATTGTACAGTCTGACAGAGGTGGGGATAAAGGCCCTGCGGTAGCGCTCCTTCTTACACTGAGTGTCTCAGTCTTCCACTGAAGGAGCTCCTTAGCTCCTCTACAGTCCTGTGCAGTGGGTGGGAGGTGTCGTTCATGATGGAGGTGGCTTTGACTAGCACCCTCCTGTCCCTCACCTCCTTCACAGAGTCCTGGTAGCAGCCCAGAGTGGAGCTGGCCCTCCTGACCAGCTTGTTCAGTCTACTCCTGTCCCGCTCTGTGCTGCCCGGGGCCCAGCACACGGCAGCGTAGTATAGGGCTGAGTCATAAAAAGACGAAGCACGTCGGGGTCCGCTTATTATACGGCTTTGTACCAACTTAACTTCAGTCACTTTTATCACTACCAAAAGGTTTATTTAATCACTGCAAAGAAAATAGTTCCCAAAGGTTTTTCCGTAGCAGGCGAGTAACAGTGACGCTAGCTAACTTCAAAAAAGATTGATTGTCATTTGTGTTTGAGTGTGGCTAGCTCCGATAGTTTCTCTCTCAGAGACAGTAGTGGCGTAGCCCGTTGTGACCCCATGGATCTATTGTAATATCGGCTGACCGTAGCTAACTAGATGATCAAACTAATTAAAAATTAAGTAATTAATTAAAAAGTGGACAGTGCAAAAAAAAAACTTGATAAATGGAAGTTAATCAAAGAAAAATAAACAAAGAAGGCGCTAGCATTGCAATTTAATTGACAAGATAATGTTAGCATAATCCTCACCATTACTTTTTTATCAATTCAAACTTTCTACCAGTTACTGGTAGACCACGACATTCAAGCCAACGTTTTAATTGGTCTTTACTATGATCCCCGATGGTTTGATGGTGGAATTTTGCTCCTGGTATATCATTTTCATCTAAAGGGACAAGGGGTATTTGATTCATTTCGGCAGTGTTTGTCCGAAACGTGTGGGCGGGAGTTGACAGGCGGCGGGGGCGTGTCTTAGTGACGTCATTTAGATAGTTTGCTATGAAATGCATCAGCATATACTATTGATGAGAAGTATCTGCGAATTCCGACTTTTTCTCACTGAAAATATCATTTCTATCAAATGTGTGACCGCGGGCAGTTGTTAGCGTTACGTACTTTAACGGGATTAACATCCTCTGTTCTGAACCTGGGAGCAACTGTGGCCGCTTTGACAACTCGGTGAACGCGCCGCCGTAACGTGGTCATGTACCGACGGCGGACCATAGACGCGCGGACAGAACCATACACGCGCGATCAGGACCATCCCCGGCTTGTTGCAGGTGCGGGTCTTGCCTGTCTCCCCCATCTCTCCACCGTCTATCCCACGTCTCCCCCAAGTCTCCTCACGAAGCGCAGCCAGAACTCACTGAATTAAAGCTCAGGTACCTAAATTTTCGCTTGCATTGACATTTTGTTTGTGCACAAAAGTAAAATGTTGTGAACATCTCAAACAAAACAAACAACAACAGTCGTGTTTTGTTTATTTTGCTTACTTAAGAAAGAGCCCTGTGAGTCTTTATTTGACTTGATTTGGGCTGAGAGTGGATTTTTTTATACATTTTTTCCACATAGTTATTGCCACTTTATTGCCAAACTCTTTTTGACTTATTGCATTGAGAAACAAGTGTTAGTCTCACATTAATTCTGGTTGTTTTATTACCTTATCCTGTGTTGAAGTTGTATATTTTTATTATTCTACTGAAGGTTGATAATAATACATTCCATTCTTATTGAAAGCCACAAGTGTCAGCTCTCAAATTATGTTTCTATCTGCAACAGAGGCTGAGATATCAATCATTTAGTAGACATTGAATTTCAAGAAAACTTCAGGTTTTGGAGGGTGGTTCTAAAGTCAGCCATAGGTTTTACAGGTCTGTTTTACAAGATGTGTCAGGCCGTAATGGTATATATTGAGACAGAATAATTGTAAACTTTAGTCCAGTGCATTTACTGTATCTGATGGACAACAACCTGCACACGAGAGAATGCAGGAAATACAAGAACCTAAGCTGTTTATGTGATTAGGGCTGTTGTCAGAGTAGTTAATGGACTTCTTATTTTGATCTAGTTTGAATAGCAATGGGGCGCACACGTTTATTAGAAAAATTAGTCCTGTCATGGAAGCCAACAGTTAAGGTAAGCATGCTAACATGAGCTAATATTTGAGGACGTGTCGATGTGTTTGTTATTATCACATTTCCTGTGTTTACAAAGTTGTGGAATCAGGATCAGTTTGAACAGTTTTAAGTCCTCTGAGACAACTGCTGTTGTGATTTTAGAATTGAACAATCATGTTGTGGATTTCTGTACCTTGCCTTACCACAAGATGGCAGCATAGTGTAACAGAAGCCTTTTCATCTTTCAAACCCAGGAGTGTGTATTCAGATGGAATTCTCCAATAAAAAAAGTTCACCACTTTCTTTCAGATCGTTGCTAAGGAAGCATGGACGAACCACCGGTTGCGGAACGACTCCATCATTGTCGACATTTTCCACGGCCTTTTCAAGTCTACCCTAGTGTGTCCCGAGTGCGCCAAGGTGTCCGTGACCTTCGACCCCTTCTGCTACCTCACGCTGCCCCTGCCCATGAAGAAGGACCGCACCATGGAGCTGTTCCTGGTGCGCTCCGACCCCCAGTCCAGGCCCACACAGGTGAGATAACCTCTGACCTTATGAGTCAAAAACGGGTTTCGAACGCAGCCGAAGTTTATAACACAAGTGTGTATCACGTTTTCTTCAACACAACAGCAACAACATGCGTAAGCACAATAATAATAATTGGTTATTAACATGTTCAGCTATGTTTATAAGATTTCAATGCCAAATCATTATCACTATCATTATAATTTTGTTTGGTCAAATATTGATTGTGTTGCGCTGCATACGGAAGTGACTAGGTTTACAGAGCAGAGAACAAATGCCAATGCGAGGTAGTTAATAAATGATACTAGCGAATACCAGATTATAAAAATATGAAAGTGGCACCAAAGGTTTGGAAATAATAAATTTTTTGAGAAGAGTTTAAGCTACATCACCAATTGACTACTTTGCTTTTCTTTTCAGTATCGTGTGATTGTTCCCAAACTGGGTTCAGTGACAGATCTGTGCAGCACCTTGTCCAAGCTCTGTGGATTCCCTGCTGAAAACGTGAGTCTCACATCGTCTTAAAAGAGCGGGTCTCACTGAACTGCTTTAATATGAAAAGAACAGAGAATGTGGAGCAACAAACATGAGCACAATAACTTCCTCTTGCCTTTGATCTACCTTTGGCGTTTGTTGGAATGTTAATTTCGAAGTGCCATTCATCCATCCATTTTCTCCCCCTTAATCCATTTCTGGATCGGGGGGTGGCAGTCAGAGCTGCACCCAATACACTTAGCACCAGCCCCTCACTGATCCTCCTGCAGGTGGTGAGTCCACAGGAGCCTTGATCTTCCAGCGGGGGCTTCAGTAAAAGTGGGGTCAAGTGTCTTGCCCAAGGACACAACGACAGCAGTCATCAGTGGGAATCGTGAAGTAGGTCTCATGGTGGATTCGAACCTATGACCTTCAGGCCTAAAGGCCGATGCTCTACCAACTGAGCTACTGTCGCCCTAATTTCAAAGTGTTTTATACCAGTGTGGTATACATGTGGCAGGGCAAGTTTATTTGTACAGCACAGTTCATATACAAGGCAAAGTGCTCAAAGTGAAGAAATACAGGCCTCGAACCTATCTTAATGTATACTGAGACCTCTAACCCTCTCTTTGATGTCTACTGGGGTCTCTAATCTTTTCAGGTAGAATAAAAATAAGTGAATAAATATAGCTGTTATCCTTTTCCTGTTTCCTTTTGAACTCAAAAAATTAAAATAGTTGTGTTTAGAAACTTAAAAAACTTTCTAAACCTATCACTTTCCACAGGTTATCGATGAGGAACTAGAAGAGCACATAATCACACACATTCTCTGCTCATCTTGTCTTCTTCCATGTTACAGATGACAAAAGGACATGTGTTTTATGAACGTTTTGAACAAACAGCTGATCACTGCTTTAGTAACAACATCCTGTTTTTACAGATGGTGGTAGCGGACGTCTACAATCATAGGTTCCATAAGATTTACAGACGAGACGATGGGCTCAACCAAATCATGGAGAAAGACGATATCTTTGTGTGAGTATTTACTTAAAACTGCACTAACTGACTGAGAAATTTTCGAATGAGAGCGCTGGGCACGCTCTTTTTGCTCAGTTGCCTGTGCTAACAAGAGACCTGTGGCTTTTTTCAAGAAAGTGGGGGCCAGTGGTCCGCTGTGATTGGTTACAATCTGGACCCAAAACACATTCTCTTCCTTGTTTCACAAAAACTCGATCTAAAATAAAATGACACTCCAGCACGAATCTGCGCTACTTTTTCTTCAAAAGGACGTATATTCCAATGCACTGCATGGATATGGATTGAATTTTGGTATTTAATACAAAAATAAAGTCAGGTAATGCAGCTTTAAGTCTTTAGTGACCTGTTTTGCTCCTCTCGTATCTGTGTTCTATATCAGGGGTGTCCAAACATTTGTGTAAGATGGCCACTTTAGTTAACCAGACTACGCCTGCATAGAATGTAGGTCCAAGACTGAGGTACTAGGTCCAGGAATTGCGTTTTTTTTTATATATATATTTTCAAAACTTAGACCATAATTAGACATAATCTAAGATGGATGCGAATCTGCATGTCAGTGATTGTGATTGCTATTGCCGCTTTCGCTTTCTGCGTTGTTTTTTGTCAATGAGCAGAGGAGTCTCTTATTGCGGCTGTGAACACCTGCGGAGTCCTGGCTGCTGCTGTCTCTGTGAGGTCTATGGATAAGTGCAGAGGACAGTGTTATATGTTCTCTGACACTAATTGATCTGACTCATGGGTTGCGTTCGTACGTTTACTTTGCACAGTACAGACGCGTTGATCCAGCCGTTACTATTTGTCGGCTCGCGCATATCTTATCAGAGTATTTGGTGTGCTCATGGGTAGTCCGTACAAACAGCATTGTTAAGCATCAGACAGTACGGGACATAGAACCGTAGAGCATTAAAATCCACACATGTGGTCAGAAGCGAGTCTCTATGGGCTGCGTGAAGCGTAGAGCTTCTGAATGTTAGATTTTAGTGAAAATATAATAATTTACAGACATTGCTTATCCCGTGTGAATGCACTGCAAGATCTCAGACGTCCTCCGCGATGATCACAAATTACCAGGGGTCCACAGGTAATACTAATCCTGTGCGAATAGGATTTAAGACTAGAAGTTTTACTTTTGACTGTTCCCTACGACCCAATGTTGAACTATAGGCTCTTTGGAAGGTTCTGATGTCACACAAACACACGTTGTACAGTTGTAAAGGCGGTTTTCTTGCAGGTATGAGGTGCAGGAGGAGGACAGCGAGCGCATGAATCTGCCAGTCTACTTCAGGGAGCGTCACTCCAAACAGTCGAGCGGCTCGTCCAGCACCATGCTGTTCGGACAACCGCTGCTACTCACGGTGCCGCGGCAAAGCCTCAGCGCGGAGCTGCTGTACGACAAGATCATGGAGAGGATTGGGTGAGGAGCGCCTGTACATGCAGATCATACGTTTTAAGGCTTCTTCTAATAAGAAAAGTAGCTTGTGCTGCTCAATTACCACATCTTTTGGAGAAACCTGATGGTGTGACCCGTTTCTTATCAGCTATTATTACTGAATGTGGTCCATCTGACAGATCATCACACTGACCACACTGTCAGAGTTGAAGCCGGTCTCCAGATTTTAGCTGCAAAAATCTGAAACATTCCTTTTTTACAGGTGAACTAGGATGAAGTAACTTCAGAATCAGTAACGTTGTAATGCCAACTTCAGAACCTCTACCAGTGTACAATGTATTCAGTGTGACTTTGTGGCCCCTTCATTCATTTCATTAATTGCGTTAAAAAAATTAATGCATTGACGCATGTGCCGAACGACCCGCCTATGCATCCCATGATTACACTCAGAAGTGCCTCTCACAGGCTTCTTATTATACTACTCTCCTTAACGCTCACCTCCCACTGAGCCATGTAGTTTTAGTAGCGATCTGATAGGCAATAGTTAGCATTAGCACAACTTCTTATAAGCTGTACAACAATCACTGACGAAATGGTACAAAAGCAACGCACTTCTAACAAAATATACAGTACAATAACTTAAAGATTACCTCCAGTTTCGTGTACAAAGTTAGTTCGAGCTGAATCAATGAGCTCAAATTTTCTATTAAATTACGGGTTTTAAGACACCTTTTAATACAACTTAGAAAAAATACTGTCTACTACAAAAAGACAGAATTTTAATAATGCTAATGCCATTTAATGTGGATTTATTGTTATAATAAACAAATACAGTACATATGTACACTATATTGTCATTTATCTTTCCATCCAAACAACCATTTACATAAAAATATGGCATACTTTGCAGATAGTTCGAAATGCGATTAATTAATTTAATTAATAGTACAGCTCCTTCACAAAACGTACTTTGTTTACACGTCGCCTCCCCCCACGTGAGTGAAGCACATTTGTGGCGTATGGAGAGATCCGGTCATTTATCAAACTAAATAATTTTTTCCTTAGTGAATGACCAAGGGTTGAGGACCACTGTCAAACATGACATATGGACCTTGGAGGCTTCTGTAGTGTTTGTGGTAGAAGTAGACTTGCAATATATGATCCCAACACTCGAAGGGTGTAAAAACTACACAGTGACCTTTTATTTTTTTCCAGACAAACTCATGATTCAAGACCAAAGACGTTCAATGACCCTTGTTTCTTGTTGCAGGCGGTATGTGAAGCCAATGTCGGCCTCCAGCTGCGAGAGCAGAGCTTTGGCTTCAGCGTCGGCTTCAGCGTCGGCTTCAGCGTCGGCTTCAGCGTCGGCTTCATCCTCGGCTTCAGCCTCAGCTACGGCTTTGGCTTCACCTTCGGCTTCAGCCTCGACTTCGGCCTCTGCTTCAGTCTCTGCTTCAGTCTCTGCTTCAGTCTCTGCTTCAGCCTCTGCTTCAGCCTCTGCTTCAGCCTCATCTTCAGCGTCTGCTTCAGCCACTCTGAGCAGCAGTCAGGCCGCCGATCCCTTCGCGTCTGGGGACCATGGGCTCGTCCCGGCTCTCAGTCCAGGTCTGGACTCTGGGTCGAGCCCCGGAGCGAGCGGCTGTGCGAGTGCACTCTCTGACGGAGCGTCCTGCAGCTCAACCAACGGCACCAACCACACTGCACCCTGCCCCCACACCAACGGCACGTACGATGGTGAGGAAACCTGGTTCTATCTGCCACTTTCAAGACTCCAGTGTCGGTGTTAGAATACAGGGTAGCCCCAGTCTGTTACTCTTTTGAATTTGATGAAGCCAAATTCAATGCATTAAAAGTAACAAACACGTGCATTACATTTGGGAGATTGTGACATCACATTTTGGCCACAAGCTCGATTTCATTACTCTGTGCTGTTTTCACGTCTGGACTGTGAGATAACACCGCTCCGATAAACAGACTTTTTCTTTTTGATGATTAATTGTAGAACGGCTACAACCAGTGTCCTCTTTAAACAAACCGTAAAATTGTAATACAAAAAAATGACGCATTAGCCGCTGCCTACACATCAGTTCTCCAATATTCCAGGCTAATTTCGAAATAACGTATGACTAGGCTCTCAGCTCACTCTAGTCCAAATATAAACGATACAACTGACTCTAAACATTCACAGAAAAAACTAACATATTAAGTGCTGGTGCTGATTAACAGTTATGTCACACTTTTAAAACCGGCTCACAACTACAGTAGTAAATCGTGCTATTAAATCTAGTGCAAAGCCCCACAGGACATCATCAGACCACTTTCCTGTGCGTTTGCTGGTGGCTCTCTCTTGTCTGATGAGAGCTGATTGCTTCTATCCCTTGTCTGATCGTTGCCGGTTGCTTGTTTCCAGGGGAGGAGGAGGCCATGGACCACCAGCAGAGCCCAGAGCCAGACCACGCTCAGTCCGAGGAAGAGGAGGAGGCAGCACCGTCTGAGCTGGAGAACGGGACGAAGGCAGAGAAACCCAACTGCTCTTCGCCACCGCGACTCTTCACCTTCAGCATCGTCAACTCGTACGGCACGGCCAACATCAGCCCACTGCCCTGCGACGGGAACGCCCTCAAGCTCAATCGTAAGTCATTGAGGGAGAGAGATGATCCAGTCGGAGAAATATCCATACAAGCATCTATAAACATCTCATTCTAAAACAGACCAGGGAAAATTGCGGCTCAATTAACGTTTCTATCCGGCCCTCGCATCCTTCCCAGCTGTTGATAAATCAAAAAACATTGGTAAATTGGTAAAAGTTGCTGCTCCTGTACCACTGGGGTTTTAAACGATGCAACTTTTCTAAATTCTTGCTCTTGCCATATTACCCTTAGTTTCTGTGGAGGGAAAAGCTTGTTCATAGAGTGGAGGACACAAAAATGATCAAAAGGTAAAAATCTTTGTTTAAAACTTTTCCATCGGCTCTCCACAGCTCAGGCAGTACCCCAATGTAGCCCCCAGGTGAAAATAATTGCTCACCCCTGTTCTAAAAGTTGGAGTCGCTTTACTGTGTTTTAATCCTGTAGTCCCTCAAGCTACAATCCGAAAGGGTGTTTGTATGCCAAAGGACCATTATCATCTGTAGTCCCTGACGTGTTGCTAAGACGGTTGCCAAGGCAAACTAGAGTTTCCCCCACGAATGAAGGCATCTGATAGAAATCCATTCATGGGCCTTAAGGATCGACCAAGGACCATATCACAATATAAACATCAGGATCATGAATTTAGCCCAAAATAGTGAGTGTGATACAAACGGTTACTGAGCTAGAGGAGTTTACCTTTTACAAATCAATCAACAAGAGTTGGAGCAAAACTTTGTCCACAAGCACTTCCCTTTTGGCCCTTGCTATATTAGGCAATAGAAAATGGAATAGAACCAGAAATAGAAAAAAAAACAATAATTGAATTTGAATGTTGTTATTATTATTTTTGATGTATAGAGTCCAAATCTGTTTTAATACAAAGCCACTAGATGACTAGCCTGACTCTCGCCAGACCCATGTAGTTCGCTGCACTTCACACATGAGTCTGGTACTGAGCCATAGTGGTTGGATTTCAGAAGGCAGGGCCTTGTAAAAAAAATCCTTGTATGTGATTGGAAAGACCACTTGTCCGTTATCTTGAATGAAGTCTGCTTTCAACCACTCACATCGAAGCACACGGCTCCCATAGGTTGCCAAATCCCAGCAAGATTTTCCAAACCAAAATCCGCGAGAATACCCACAAAAAAAACCACTCAGAATGATTTTTTGGCTAAAAACGTAATATAATCAACTTGGGCTATCATGATTCTGTTTATTGTCTTTTTGTTTATTTAATACCTACAAGTCTCTTGGAAAAAAATATGCGGGAACCACCAAACCTGGCAACCCTGCTGCATAGTGTGTAAACAGGAACACTGAACCAGTGCTTCAACCAAACTTGACTCTTAAAACACACATATAACAACATAGAACCATCAACATCTCGCCTCAAATTGCATTAAAAGTGACATCCGTGTCTTAATTCGATCGTATTTACTCTTTTAAAAAGATTCGCGGACTTTACGTCCGCCATCTTGGATTCCTCTCGCTGCTGCATGAGAGAAGCTTGAGAAGGCAATGCAAACCCCACGTAACACCGGCAATCCTGATTGGTCGATTAAAAAATAATCTGGGGAAGGCATTCGCTATGGCGTCGATACCAGACCCATGTGGTTCAGCCAAACGCCTCTGGTGGAGCATGGCGGAACTACAAGGGTCTGGCAGAGCCAGGCTAGATGACTGCTGTTTAGGACTTAACAAAAATAAAATAAAATAAAGTAAAGGAGTAAAACTTATTTTTCCTACAATTTTGTACATGTTCTTTCTTTTGTTTCTTTTACGGTTTTACAAATTATTCCATTCAATAACAGTCAAAACTTGAATAAACATCACATATTGTGGGCCGAAGTGTAACCTTGGGTCTTCCTCTTGTCTCTTTTGGTCCTCGTGGTGGTTCCTCTTGTCTCTTTTGGTCCTCATGGTAGTTTCTCTTGTCTCTTTTGGTCCTCATGGTGGTTCCTCTTGTCTCTTTTGGTCCTCATTGTAGTCCCTCTTGTCTCTTTTGCAGCACATTCCACGGTGGCGATCGACTGGGATCCCGAATCCAAGAAACTGTGCTATGACGAACAGGAGGCAGAGGTCAGAGCCTTCGTATCGCCTAAAGTCTGTGAGGCTTTTTACACGACCTAAACCCTGCTCATACATGTGTTTCCAGGCCTACGAGAAGCACGACAGCATGCTCCAGCCGCAGAAGAAGAAGACCACAGTGGCTCTGAGGGAATGTATCCAGCTGTTCACCACCATGGAGACGCTCGGAGAACATGACCCCTGGTACGAAACACACTCATGTATTTTAGTTTGATCTGAAATATGATCATGCTGGGAGTAGGGATGTAAATCCGTGACCGTTTAACCGGTGGTTGACCGTCACAGCGTTAACCGGTCAAAGCTGTCGGTTAAAAAAGAGGAGAGGGGATACAATACACAATACAATTTATTCTTGTATAGCCCTAGGTCACAACAGAAGTCATCTCAGAGGACTTAACAAAACCATTGAAATCACCAACACAGGTCAGAGAATCAACAGTTAAAACACATGAAGAATACAGTATAAAGCACACACAGAAGAAAATGTCCATACATGTTGTAGAATGCTAAAGTGTCCTGATCATCACCAATCCTTTCTGTTGGACACTAACTGTCCAACAAGACCCTCCTGCATCGACAAGGAAAAACTCTTAAAAAACCCAGTGGGAAAAAGTGAGAAACCTTGGAGGAGAACTAGGGAAACCCACAGGTTTCCCTAGTTCTCCTCCAGGGGGGGAGGTCTCTTCATAACGCTATTTTAAGCCCTATTTGCACGATGTGACGAGCGGGTCCGTATCTAGCTGTGTGCGCCAATGTATTAGTAAACACCGGGCCGACTCTCACGCTGCACGCGCCACATATGCACGCACACACACTTCCCCCTCTCCATTGATACGTAACATCCACACGCATCATCTCTCCCCTCTGTTACCGCCTGTTAGTCGCACACTGGTGCAGGTCAGAACTACATTGGAGCTTATATTCACACACACACACACGCACACGCACACACACACACGTTTTTGTTACCTGGTGGGTCCCTTTGACAGGGCCGTTCAGAATGGGACCCTTATAGCGCTTTTCCACAGCACCGGCACTACACCACTCTACACGACACGGCGCGTTACTTTTGCATTTCCACTAGCGTTGAAGCTAGGTATTGTGTTCTATTTTCGGACCGCCTCTGGAGCGGTTCCAAAAAGCTACACTCTCGTGACGTAAGCGGACTGCCTACGCTATTGGCCAACGGCTCTCTCACACTATTGGCCAACGACTGTCGTCACTGGTAGCGTCATAAGTGCGACGTCTGACCGTATTGAGAGACAAGATTCAACCCCGCCATTTTTAAAACTGCCCTGTGAGCATACGCACTGCACTCGAGAAATGGAATCCAGCAAGCCGCAAAAGTCCACAATCTGGTCTGTTGATGAGGTCCAAACATTTCTGTCTTTACTGGCCGAAGACAGAATACAGAAGGAGCTCGATGGCAGTACGCGAAATGAGAAGGTCTATAAAGAGATCGCCCAACTCTTGCTAACACACGGTTACCACCGTACGCATCAGCAGTGTAGGGACAAGATTAAAAAGATGAAGTGCGATTACCGGGCCATAAAGGACCACAACGGCCGAAGTGGGGTCAATCGGAAGACCTGGAGGTGGTATGCCGAGATGGATGCCATTTATGGCCACAGGCCTGCAAACAATGGACGGGAGTGTGGTCTGGACTCTTCTTCCACGTCGAGAATGGGCGATAATGGTAAGTGCTTTGTAACTTTTATCTGTAGTTATTGTGAAAATGCATTATCACGTAACCTGTGGCTCAATGCCCACTGGAATGTATTTATTCATGTAAACGTTTGATTGTTGTCTGCTGTACAAAGTGAGCTAGCTACTTTAAGCTATCGATAGCAATCTGCTAACACGTGCTACATCTTGCCATTTCACGTGTTGCCATTCAGTTTTGTGCTTTTACTTAAGTCGTTGTGTGTGTTTGTCTTATTATAGAATCCCTTGTCGCAAGTGAAGCGTCGAACGACCCCCCAAGGTCCCCGTCCCCAATCCCTCCAGAACCAGCTGCTGCTTCGACGCCTGGAGATGCGTTCCCTTCGATGGCGAGCGACACGTCTAGCAGCGCACAGCGTGTGGTCACGGGTAAGGCACAGGGCAGACATAATACATGATCGATAGATATTTTATTCATCACCCTGTGAGAAATTCATGTCCTATAGCAGCAAAAAAAAATAATACAACTACATTGATACTGTGCCGCAACAGTGCAGCTCTATACCGACACCTGGTGGATCTCAGAAGTAATAGCATTCAACTCGGTGAAGTATGTCCAATTAATGCATATTTTGGACACTATCACCCTAGCTTTAGAGAATGTCAATAAAAAAGGAATCGGACCACCTGTCAGTGATCTTTTTCCAAATAAAAAATCTAATTTGTGATACAATACCACTTCACTTTGGTGTGAAAAAGAAATGCAGCGAAATGTAATTTTAGCTGCACTGACTGATTTGATTAATCTGGGTGTATTTAAGTCATGCTCATGCTTTGTCCTAAAATGCCTAAACATTGACCATTAAATATTGTTTGACAAAGCGTGAAACATGACATACAAACATTACCCGATTTGCAATTAAGTCAAAATGATCCCACACGTAACACTTTGAGTGGAGTTTTTTCCTCTTTGAAAGGGTAGTTGTTGCAAAATCTCGGGTAGTGTGATATATACTGTTCTGAAACGTAATAATCTTTTTGCCTACATAAAAGTATGTCTCCAGAAATGTCACTGCTTTGGATAATTACCAACTGTTAATACTTTTTTTTATTGTTGTACAGGGAAGAGAAAAAGGGCGCTCTTCCAGACGGAGACTGTAGAAATGATGAGGCAGATCCAAGCTGAAGATGTGGTGCAGCAGGAGCTGAACCGGACACAGCAACTCCAGCTTGTCAGAGAGTCGCAAGAGTTGGACAGCGACATTGAGGAGGGAGGAAAATGCACAGGCGGCTGCATTTAACCAATCATTTCTTGGTCTCCTGGGCCAGCCAGCGTTGGAATTTAGGACGATACATTGAATTGAATTATAAAAAGGCAAAACTTTACCCGTTTCATAACAACTTGTAAATATAAGAAAAGATTTTTTTAAACGTGCGTATAAATCCTTTATTAACGATAGTGACATGATTCAAGTGCTGTCTCTGCCACCGATGCGTCTGTTGAAGTCCTGTCGCTCACAGATGTCAGACACCCTCCACACAGCGGCTTCAGAGGGCGTCGTCATGGAGTGAACTCACAGGACACAAACACATCAGAGCAAAAGAGAGCACAGGAGAGAGTGAGCATAGTGGAGGGGGGCACATGGAGAGAGAGAGGATAGGAGAGAGCACATCAGAGCAGGAGAGCAGCTGGTGTGGATGAGTTACGGCTGTCTGACTGAAGAGAGCTCCTGTGTGTTGTATGGAGTAGAAGAAAACAGATGTTATTGGAGTAAACACGCAGCGAAAGACCAGAGAGAAAAGAGAGAAACCAGAGAGGGACCAGAGAGATGCAGAGAGAGACAACGAGAGAAAGCGTGATACAGAGAAAGAGATACAGACACAGAGAGACCAGCCAGAGACTTTAAGGTAACTGTCATGTTATGCTAGCGGTCACATGATAATATAATGTAGCACTCAAAAATGTTTGCAAAACATGAAAGGAGAGGACACATTTCAGAGCAGACGACCGTAACTCTCTCCAGCTGTTCTCTAAAGAGCCACAACGACGAAATCTACAATCTGGTCTGGTTCAGAAGCTTCTTGATGTCGGCCTCTATGTCGCTGGTCAGGAAGCGGCGGCCGTAGCGTTTGAACGGGACGCCGTCTGGACCGATCAGGAACTTCTCGAAGTTCCAGGAGATGTCGTTCCTGCAGACGGGGCTCCAGATGATGCAGCGAGGGTCCCCCATGAGGGAGGTGGGGTCGTCGCTGGGAGTGGGAAGCTTCTCCCGCAGGTAGACGAACAGAGGGTGAGCGTCTTTGCCGTTCACCTCCAGCTTCTCCAACAGCTGGAACTGAGGCTCGAAGCCATTCCCCGGACGGACATACTTGAGGGACAGAAGGATCTCCTCGTTCTTACAGTTCTCCTGCAAACAGAGACAGAAGAGTCAGAATCTGAATGAGTTTTATCGCTGTTTGAAGTAATAGGAAGTCACAAACTGGGCACTGGTTTTGAGGGATTTGTTGGGGAAATCTGTGCATTCCATAGGCCGTATATTAGGAGTGGACTGACTGAGTGTGACATCATCGTAGCTTTATTGTGGAAGTAGCTGATTTGAACATAAGCTAGTCGTCCATGAGTTCTTCCCTATTGGGCTTCATTGAGCTCGGGGGTTAGCATAGTTCATCTGTAAACAGTTCCATGCCATAATGTGGAAGTCAGGCGTGTGTTTATGCCGATGTGCTACATTTATATCATTCATTCATTAAAATACATTGGGCGCCAGCATTTTTTGAGAAACACCATGTAACTGAATAAGAGACAGTGGATGACTTTAAATCAATAGCTGAAGCACATGAAGAAAATGATGTAAGAAAACTGTAGGGAGACATTTGTTTGAAGCCAAGTTTGTGTAGAGGATGTGTCCTGGATTTAATCGTTTTTGAAAGTATTTATTGAGACCCATTCCCATCACTGCATCACTTCCTCGTTCCTCTTCCGGAAAGCAGTTTCAATGTTAGACTTTGTCAACTCTTGTAGGGTTTGTCCACACCCTACACTCATAATAGTCCTTTGTGATCTGATAAGTGTTGAGGATTGTGTAACACACTTCATGATGCACACATTATGACTGCACAGTATTACTGATTGTTGTGTGCCTGGATTTCTTTGTGTATGGGTGTATAGTAAATAGTACAAAACACAAGGGCTATAAATAGTGGAGTAAAATAAGAATGGAAAAATACATGAACGAACAAGTAAACCTAGATCCCCTACATCTGTCCAAAAATGTCAATATGGGAATACACGTGTCCACTGTCACACACTAAAGGGAACAAAAGTGTGACAAAAGGCCAAAAATTTGATTTTTAGAAGTTGCTGAAACATAACTGTTTTATACATTAGTCAAGTTTCCTAAAGCGGCACTGTTTATTTTATGTAACGGACATGATGATTTGACGGAATGAGCTACGAAAGTTTGTTACATATTTTCAGATGTCCATATTTGATTACAAGATTCTATTGGGGTTTTTTTTGAGTAGAAACAAAGTTATACTTTTATACATTAAACCAATTAAATGTGAAACCAGTCCCTATTATTTTTCTCAAGTTTAATTTTTAGAAAAAAAATGACGGGAACCATCACGTCCATAACACATTTTATACGGGTCATTTAATATTGTATATATTTTTTTTTTATGATTCCTTTTTAAATCAAGTGATTTACTTATGTTGTGTTAGCCATGTTAATATTTCAGTCTGAGGACATTTCATTTTCTACGTAACTGGCGTCACAGTAGAATGATCAAATCAGAGGCTGATTTGGTCGTTTAAAATGTCGCCAAAAATGTGTTTGTCAATCTTTCCTTTTGATTTTATCAACACTATCTCTTTGATATGTCTGTGTTTAAAGATTTTGTTTCAAATCTATGATAGTAATTTGAGTTTTTGAGTTAAATTGACACTTTACAGTAAACACACTCTTGTGCGAAGTCACTTTTAGCCCAGAACCTCATGCTGCTAACATATACAGTAGAACCTATGCTGCTGGCATGTACAGTAGAATCACAGTAAGAATGAGAAGATAATTATTAAGTGACTATTAAGTATAGCACAACTCTGTACTTTAGAAATTAAATTAAATCTCTATCTTTATCTTAATAAAAAAGCAAGTATGACAGCAGCTCCACAGAGGTCTCCCATCACAGTACTAACCAGGCCCTGCCCTGTCAAGCGTCAGAGCTCTGCCAGGAGCTGGCTTTCACATGCAGGTGAATTTAACGGTACAGATCCTCCACGATATTTACTAAAAGTGTCCATTGTGGAAGTATTTGCACTGTTACATTCACCAGAAATAGAGACACACATTTTGAGGTCACAGTTCCTCCACAGATGCAAATAAGATAAGATAAGATCAATGGGGAAAATGCCATGCACATTACAGCAGCATAAAAAAAAGGAAAAAAAAGTTCTCAGGTTTTGCATACATCAAACAGGATCTAGTATTTAAGATAATAAAACACTGACGCATCTAGTAATTAAGATAATAAAACACTAAAGCTATAATTGCGCTTAGGATAAGTATACTTGTGGAGAACACACTGTAGATAGCAGCATCATGAGGTATTTACAGAGGGTTAGATATACAGTATACACACAGCAGAGAGAATATGACCAGAATAAACAATAGTAATAACAGCAGCAGGTAGAGTGACTAGTGGATTATCAGAGCAGAGTTATCAGATGAAGAGAATATGTAATAATGTGATACTGTAGTAAGAATAACAGCAGGTAAAGTGAGTCGAATGGCACATGTCCAGGCTCAGCTGTTCTCATTGTACAGTCTGACAGCAGCAGGAGTGAGGAGAACCAGCAGAACTTGCCCTTCACACACTGAGGGTGGAAAAGTCTGTCACTCAAATGTGTGTCTTTTACCTGATGTCCGAACTGGTTGCAGGGAGCGCCCAGGATAACAAGCCCCTTATCCGCGTACTTCGCGTGGAGCTCGTTCATCTGGGTGTAATCCCTGGTGGTCGTACCTCAGAGAGACGCCACATTCTCAATCAGGACAACTTTGCCCTGAAGCGAGGAGAAATTCAGCGTGCCCCCCGACAGGAGGGTGGCAGAGAAATTGTAGAATTCAGACGCCATTTTCTTGTTTCTTTGTCGTTTGTTGCAGGAGAGATCAAAGACGTGTGACGGTCTCTCCAGAGATACAAGACAACTAAACCTGACACTGAACGAACAGACAGGTCTGGGCAAAGATCAGCAACAAGGCAAGATAAGTGTAGGCGTGGTCGAATGAAAGGCGGGGCAACCCGGAAATAACTTGACTTCTAAGAAATAATGATACAACTATTGGTTGTATGTATGTATATTCCCGGTGTGGTAAAGTATATTTGGTAAATTGCAAATAGATCTTTCCAGTACTCTGCTATAATCTTATTTTGACTGCTCCATTTATTTATTAAAGACATGTAATACCTTTACAAAAAATAAGAGATCATTTAATAAAAATAGTGACATAAATAAAGATACAGAAAAAGTCACAAAGTTATGAAGACTAAAGATGAGCAGTAAATTACACTTCCAAAACTTAAAGACGTTTCGTTTTTGTTTTTGTTTCGTACATGTTTTTCTTTTTATTTTGTTTCATACATTGTTTTTGTGCCGTAGACTTGTCTAGAAGATGGATTTATGATTTCATTTTTAGTCGCGTATTCCATTTGATGCAATTTTTCTTATTGTAAAGGCGGAAAAAAACTGAAAACATTACCTATTGATCTTATGTAACATTCAAACCACCATTGTATCAGATATTTGATTTGAAGCCTGTTTCAAACTGTTTTTTACCATGGTTTTTACAACTTTTTATCCCCTAACATCTTTGGCAACGACGTCGCCTGTTGATGACGTCTCCACATTGGCGCGGAAATTTATTTCGTAAGGAGCTGCAGAAAGAAAAAAATACAACTGCAAGGTCTTTACTTTAGTTACTTTTCCATAGTTTGTCAACACAAAACATCAGCGACATGTAGCGTAGAATGTGTTAGAGTGTGTGGCTTGTCATCTATGTTTATAAGTGAAGCTTAAGAGGCGTGTATCGGTGTTATTGAGTCTTAGCTAGTTAACCTAACCTAGTTGTAACTACTACGATTTTTGTTGTTGGTGTGTACATATCATAGACTGTAAGTACATGTCTATATTTTACAGATGAGGAAACGCAGATCTGCAGTGGATAAGAAGGAGACCAGTTTAACAGCGGCTCCCAGTAGTAAGTTTCTATATTGTAAACATCTCGTTGTTACTATCATGTAGTTACTTAACTCACTACTTAAGTCTCTGTCTTTACCTAACCGCCAGGAGGTGAAGTACCTTGGTCATTATATACACTACCGTTCAAAAGTTTGGGGTCATATTGAAATGTCCTTAATTTCGAAGGAAAAGCACTGTAGATAACTTTAAACTAGTCTTAACTGTAAAGAAATACAGTCTATACATTGCTTATGTGGTAAATGACTATTCTAGCTGCAAATGTCTGGTTTTTTGTGCAATGTTGTAATTGCTGCAAATGGAGGATTCTTTGACGAAAGCAAAGTAGGATGTAAAACAAATCTTATTTCAATTACAAATCATTATTTATAACCTTGTCAATGCCTTGACTCTATTTTCTATTCATTTCACAACGTTTGGTGGTGAATAAGTGTGACTTTTCATGGAAAACACTTGGGTGACCCCAAACTTTTGAACGGTAGTTCAAAAGAATATGCACAGACAGAGATGTAATCTGTATGGTTAGGGAGTTTAATAGGTGTTCTGGGAATGTAAAAACTTCCTTGTTGACAAAGTTAAAAGCAGGTCAGTCTGCCGATAACGACTTAAAGAGGATTCTGCTGAAGATCCCAAACACAAAAGTGTCAGATGATTGCTGAGTGCATCATGTGCTCATGTCCTGCTGCTCGGCGTCATGGTTATTTGTGGTGGGGGAAAAAACGATTCTGTTCTGAATCGCGAAATCAATACAGTAGAGCAAAGTAATGCAATATTTGTTTTAATAATTATCTGTTTCTCTTTATTGTTTTCTCGGAAATTACTCTGGTAATTTACATCTGAGGTTTATAAATACTCTTATGTCCGCTTTTTGTTATTCTACTTGCAGTCTTTTTGAATATTTTATGTTATGTGCTGGGAGCTTGCTATTCATGTGAGAGGTCGCCTATTCAAAGAATAATAATGTCTTTAGATAAGATAAGATTAGCGTTATTAATTTCACAGTTGAGAAAATTACATGTCACATTTAGGATAACTCAGATAGTGCAAAAGACAGAAGTGTGCAAACATGTTTAGGTTAAAAATATAGTCTGCAGGATAAATTATGTACATTAAAAAGTGGAAATAGCAGTGCTGGATTTTCAGTCCTAGTGCAGGTCATTAGTGACCTAAAGTGACTTATTGTACAGTCTGACAGCGGTGGGGAGGAAAGCTCCTTCTTGCACTAGGGGTGTCTCAACTTCCACTGAAAGAGCTGCTCAGCTCCTCTACAGAAGGTGTTGTCCATGATGGAAGTGACTTTGACACATCCTCCACAGAGTCCAGGGAGCAGCCCAGAGCAGAGCTGGTCCTCCTGACCAGCTTGTTCACTCTGCTCCTGTCCCGCTGTGTGCTGCCCGGGGCCCAGCACACACAGAGTCATAAGAAGTCCTGAGCAGAGGCCTGCTCATTCCGTACCTCAGCCTTACAGTGCCTTGCGAAAGTATTCGCCCCCCTTGAACCTTTCAACATTTTGCCACATTTCAGGCTTCAAACAAAAAGATATAAAAATAATTTTTTTTGTCAAGAATCAACAACAAGTGGGACACAATCGTGAAGAGGAACGAAATGTATTGGATGATTTAAACTTTTTTAACAAATAAGAAAACTGAAAAGTGGGGCGTGCAATATTATTCGGCCCCCTTGCGCTAATACTTTGTAGCGCCACCTTTTGCTGCAATTGCAGCTGCAAGTCGCTTGGGGTATGTCTCTATCAGTTTTTGCACATCGAGAGACTGGAATTCTTTCCCATTCTGCAAAACAGCTCGAGCTCAGTGAGGTTGGATGGAGAGCGTTTGTGAGCAGCAGTCTTCAGCTCTTTCCACAGATTCTCGATTGGATTCAGGTCTGGACTTTGACTTGGCCATTCTAACACCTGGATACGTCTATTTGTGAACCATTCCATTGTAGATTTGGCTTTATGTTTTGGATCATTGTCCTGTTGGAAGATAAATCTCCGTCCCAGTCTCAGGTCTTTTGCAGACTCCAACAGGTTTTCTTCCAGAATGGTCCTGTATTTGGCTCCATCCATCTTCCCATCAATTTTAGCCATCTTCCCTGTCCCTGCTGAAGAAAAGCAGGCCCAAACCATGATGCTGCCACCACCATGTTTGACAGTGGGGATGGTGTGTTCAGGGTGATGAGCTGTGTTGCTTTTACGCCAAACATATCGTTTTGCATTGTGGCCAAAAAGTTCGATTTTGGTTTCATCTGACCAGAGCACCTTCTTCCACATGTTTGGTGTGTCTCCCAGGTGGCTTGTGGCAAACTTTAAACGAGACTTTTCATGGATATCTTTGAGAAATGGCTTTCTTCTTGCCACTCTTCCATAAAGGCCAGATTTGTGCAGTGCACGACTGATTGTTGTCCTATGGACAGACTCTCCCACCTCAGCTGTAGTTATCTGCAGTTCATCCAGAGTGATCATGGGCCTCTTGTCTGCATCTCTGATCAGTCTTCTCCTTGTTTGAGATGAAAGTTTGGAGGGACGGCCGGGTCTTGGTAGATTTGCAGTGGTCTGAAACTCCTTCCATTTTAATAGAATTGCTTGCACAGTGCTCCTTGAGATGTTTAAAGCTTGGGAAATCTTTTTGTATCCAAATCCGGCTTTAAACTTCTCCACAACAGTATCTTGAACCTGCCTGGTGTGTTCCTTTGTCTTCATGGTTCTCTCGGCGCTTTAAACAGAACCCTGAGACTATCAAAGAGCAGGTGCATTTATACGGAGACTTGATTACACACAGGTGCATTCTATTTATCATCATCAGTCATTTAGGACAACATTGGATCATTCAAAGATCCTCACTGAACTTCTGGAGTGAGTTTGCTGCACTGAAAGTAAAGGGGCCGAATAATATTGCACGCCCCACTTTTCAGTTTTTTATTTGTTAAAAAAGTTTAAATTATCCAATACATTTCGTTCCACTTCACGATTGTGTCCCACTTGTTGTTGATTCATGACAAAAAATTAAAATTTTATATCTTCATGTTTGAAGCCTGAAATGTGGCGAAATGTTGAAAGGTTCAAGGGGGTCGAATACTTTCGCAAGGCACTGTATCTTGTCCTGTAATAAGATTCTGTGCACTTCAGTTAATGCACAGACCATAATAAATGTGAAATTTAAGTTGAGCAACATTTTTTTCATAAATCTTTGCAATACCTTTGAATAATAATGGGGACATGAATCACAATAAGTTGCAAAATTGAATCGAAATACCTGCTGTATATTTTTGTTTAATAGTAGTGTTCTGAAATCTGTAGGAGCAGGGCTGTAAGGACATATCGTTTGGTTTTCTGGTGAGGCCTTTGTTTTTTAATTATTATTTTGACTTTTGCTTATTACTCTGTAGAAGCAAAGAAGAGTCGCAGCGCTGCCCCCCCAGCGGAGACCAATGAAAGTGTGTTTTCTCTGTTTCTGCGGGAAGCGGGGGTCACACTGAACTATGGCAGTGAATCCAATGAAATCGGTAATACAAATAAACAATTTTTTTATTTATTATTGTTTTCTATCACTTCCCCTATGTGCGATCTGTCTTACAGCCGTGGACCAGGTTGTGTTCCAAAAGAGAATACAGAAGAAGCTTCAAAAGAGCCCAAAGTATCCAGACGTGAGTTTGTATTCACTCTGCAAAAGCTATGATGTGAAACAGACAGAATTCCTTCTGAAATACAGATCTCCTGAGTTGACGTAGCACACATTCCT